ACACAACAAACTGATCAATTGAGTTTTAAAATATAATGAAATAAGGAAATATCAAAAAACTACTTTACGCTGTTAGTAGGATACACCTAATGTTGGACTTCTGTACAAATTATACATTGCACTATGGAAGGAGATGAATGGAGTATAAATAACAATTTTGTTTATTCTGAAAACAAGTATTTAATAAAGGAATTTATTTTTATATATGAAATAGCAATCCTATATATAATTAATGGAACGTATACAGCCAACTCATAATCCCTAACTTGTTAGGGTTTTCCTTTCTAACGCAATGTTAATTAAAGAGCAACTTCATACACGATTTCATGAACACTCGATTAAGCCAATTAATTAAGTTGGTTAAAAGTAGTTGATTAATGCATAAAATTTGGGGATGAAAAGTTAATTTATGTAAAAATTGAAAATGTAAAACATTTTTTTTTTTTTTTGACAATCATTTGGGGTCGGAAATATAATGATATTGGCAATTGTTGGCGCTTGGACGGTGGGAGAAAGGGAAGCAAAAGGATAGTCAAACATAAGGAAAGAGACGGGAGTAGAGTTGTGTAGTTGTAATTAACAATACATATATATATATATAGGAGTAGGGGGTTTGTTAGATCTTGACTCTTAAAAAATATATAGTACGAATTCTTTTATTGTATTTATTTACGCGCATCCATCCATGCATGCATTCATTTCATTTGATTAGTTATTAGTACTAAAATTTAGTAAATAAATTTCAAATACCAGCCCGAATGTTCTGTTCTTGTTTTTGCTGAAAGCCTAATATATTATTATATAATCCGTTTATACTTATTAAATTCCATGGCAATTTCTTTTGTATCTTCCTATGGTTTTTTTTACGTGTTTGTGTGCCTAAGATGGTACGCTATTATGTATATAGGAAATAAAGGTAAATACCCAGAAAATTACACAAGAAAACATGGCCATCCATGAGTTTCTTTCTTTTGTTAATGGTTTTCGGTTCTAACAATTTTTTTTTTTTTTTTGGTTTGGAAATGTTAATTTAATTACGAAGGTGAAATGTACAATAGCTATGTTAATGGCCGAGATTAGGAGATGTGCGAACTAACGAGCTAGTAATTGAGACACTTTACTAACATCTTGTGTTAATTAACAATCGGAGAGAACTTAAAATGAATCCAAATATTGAATCAAAATGCCAATTTTCAAACTTAATTAGCCGCTTGTTGATTTTGGATGATCAATTTGTTCCTTTTTCCCGTGTACACATATACTTCCTTTGTCCCATAATTATTGTCCAATTTGATTTTTCATTTCTAGTTTAAATTGTACTAAAAGTAAAATCTCAAACTGGACAATAATTTTAGGACAGAGGGAGTAAGATCGATCGATGCTCAACATGATGTTATTTCTGTAACACTCCCTGCGATATCGTTTTAAAATTGTTACAAAGTTGATGATTCAAATATAATCGAAAACAATCTACAAAAAAAGCTACATTAATTTCTATTTTTATATATGGATTTAATTGTATATGTGAAATAGTACATCACATACACTATCTATATAACTCGAGATGTGTTCCTATACAAATTAAATCATATCTCCAACCTAAAATATAGTTAATTAAATTAGGCCTTTGTTGATTTAGCCACTTGAAACGTACACTTGGTAACACAAGTCAACTAATTAAGGTGGCGTCATTTGTTACAAGAAAACCAACTTGTGCAACTTAGAGATACGTAGCCAATCACGACTTTCCAAATGGTCCAACAAGCTTAGAACGTTGGAATACCAAATTCATGAATGCAGTAAAATTTATTATGTTTGGTTCGTTTTTTTAGTGTGTGTTTTTAGGTGTTTTTTATATTGGGAATGTAAAAAGATTTGTTGGAAATGTAAAAATGTTTGTTGGAAATGTAAAAAAATATGTTGGGATGAGACAATTATTAATAAAATAAACTGAAAAAACCATTAAAAAAAACAAACAAACAAAGCCTAACATCCCCAGTTTCGACTTTCACGAGTCATCCAAATTAATTACTTTCATTTTGTCTCAAAAAAAAAATTTTCTCTTTCGATTTTTATTTTTTATTTTTTTGGTAGCGAACGAGGAGCTAGCTTCCTTCTCAAGTAGGTCGTAGAATTTTTACATCAAGCTGTTGAACTTTTTTTTTTTTTTTTTCCTTTTTTCCAACTGCACTTAACACATTCCTATATAGCTGTATCAAGCCATTTTTCTTTTCAGAAGATTCACATTTGTAGCTAGTATTTTTTAAATTATTGTGGGGTCTTAAAAGTCCGAGCGGATTCCTTCTTTCTTATGGACACCTTCCCTAAAGTTGAATATTTCATTTGTTCTGTCTTTTTGTTGAGTAATACTATTCTTTAGGGTAATCAAGGAAAAGGAACAAAAGTTTGAAATAAAATAAACAATAAGATAAATAGGGAAACACAATTTTGTTTTTTACAAGTCAAAAGAGAAACAGTTCCTCTCCATATTACATACATAAAGATTAGAAAACTAGCTGGTGGGCACATAGACAAAGTCACACAAATTCACACACTTTTTTTTTCTTCATTTTGTAGCATGCATTAGGAATTTAGGATTCAATGACTCCATACAGTGAGAGAAGTCTAATTCATATTACTAGTAAGATTGACAAATTTTAGAATATGGCTCTTTATAAGATTTTGTGAAAATAGATATGTAACGTGTAAACGTGACATCTCATAGTATGTCAATTATCCCGTTCTCATAAATCTGTAACTGTGATATTAGAAGATACATGATATATATATATATATATATGGTCGGTACATTCATATAACTTAGTAAGATATTAATTTACGATGAATAATATTTGGACAAACGTAAATACTCTTTGTGTACTTCAATTTTAAGGGCAAAAATTGATTATTTTGCATATTTTTTACATTTTATATCAGTCGCTACACTAATATACCCGAGTGAAATAATCATCAAAAAACAGTAAGGTCCAATCTACAGACAAACAGGCGCATATTTAAGGATAAAGAACATGTCATTGTACTGAAAATCTTATTTTAATCATGTACAATCATTGATTGCATCTACTTCAAAGAAAGACAAAAACAGTCACAGTGAAAACACAACCCTTTCTGACAGTGTAGTATAACAAATTAACATTAATCATGGATTTTTTGCTTGGGTGAATAGCGTCATTGATTACTCTGATTATGACATTTAGGACTTTATTATATTAGGTCGGTAAACACAATCTTACTCTAATTTGAGATTTACAAATTATATTTCATTTTGTAAGAACCAGTGACGGAGCTAGGATTTCACAAAAGCAAGGGACAAAACAAAAAGTTGAAAAAAACTTCATGGATTAAAAGGTGTAAAATTTTTTTTTGCAGAGATATAATTATTGTTTTCTGAAATTTATTCTAAAATTTTAAAAGGACTCTTATTGAAATTTTTCGGGGAGAGGGAGGGCGACCGTCCCTACTAGTTCCCTCCTTCCGCCTCTGGAGAGAACCCAATTAAATATATATATATGAAATAAAAATATAATTATATTAATTTGTTAGAAATCGTCCAACAATGATTAAGAAAAGAATTTTACTAACTAATAATCATAACTTACAATTCGTCATAATACCAGTAACGTTCTTAGTTGGTTTCAAGCTTGCATTTTTCATTATTGTATGACTAGACAATTTTTTTTCGGATCACAGTTACAGGAAAATACAAGTGATAGACTTATACTTGCTCCGTCTAAAAATATTTATGTTTATTAAAATATAACCATCAGGAATAAGAGCGAGTGAGTTAACTGGGGTGATAAGACTTGAATATCGTTAATCACTATGATATTTCAAAAATGTAGTTAAATAATCCATTAAGAAAACAAGAAAAAGAAATTGTACTCTTTGTTACACTTAATAGGTTTTACTCAAAGAATGAATCAAATAACGTTCTAAATATGAAATTCATATTAATAGCTTCTGAGAAACATGAAACCAGACTTGAAATAGTAGAAATGCCATTAGTCATTTTAAATAGTACTATTTAGTCAAATATTTTTGTTTTTCCTAGCGACAAAATTGCACCACGTAATTGGGGCTAGGAAATAGTAGAATCACGCTTTACAGCCTCTAAAAATATCAATATTACTTCCTTAAAAACAATTTTAATATCTGTAATAATTAAAATCTTTCTAAGAAGAAAATAGAAATCAGTTAATATTTTTATATTTATAAAGTCCGGCGTCGCAGAGTTGCAGCCAGCCACGCGCACCGTCTCATTTTGTATATATACAGTATACACGATGAGGTTACAGTACGTATACATAGTGCAGGTACACTGGCAGTAGACATTTTAATATAAAATAAAAAGTTAATTTCACAAATGGTCCCCTCGTTTAGCCTCTTTTGCAAACCATCTCTGTAAAAGATTGATTATATCCTTTAATCCCCTTAAAGTTTTGAATTCTTACAATTTACACCTATTTTAAATCACCACAAAGATACAATGAAAATTTTAATAACCACCAAAATAATCAATAGTAATTAAATATTTATAAAAATTCATGTATCGGTCGCTAATCATTTTTCTTTATCAGGATCCTAAAATGTTCCTGAAATTATTTAAATGTCAATGCCTTTTAGTTTCTTTGCTTCAATTCATAAACGTCATTTATAAATGCCGCTACATCATTTCACTCATTTATAAACTTATGAATCCTAATGCCAAATTAAAGATTTAACTTGAATCGAAATGACAGCAAGCAAATCATTTACTGTTACTTTTCGACCATGGAGAACATATATGTCAATGTGTAATTTAATTAGCAAAAGCTAATTTAAACTTGTGCACATTGATAAAGTTGCCTAGAAACCCTCAAAGGTTGATATTTCAGAGGGTAGTTCCACAAAATAAACAGATTTCAGGGGTAGTTAACGCAATAAAACCAAAATAAAATAAAGGTCAAAGGAGCCTAAATGGAACATAACTCCATTTCTTTCATTTATCTATCTTCCTTGCTTCCCATTCACTTTCCTCTCCTTAACTTTTACTCACTCCCTGATCATATAATCATATCATATAACCATCTACTTCTCCCCCCTCTCTTTATCAAATTGAGTGGATTAAAAGAAACATACTTTATCATTCCCCTTTTTTCTCTCTTCCTCTTCTTCTAACTCCAGCTTTACTATCACTTTCTGTTTCCTCATTTGTCCCACACACACACACACACACACACACACACATTCAGGCAAGCCTGACTTCATAGACATTTTCAGTTAAACTGATTCACTGAACCTCATAAGGATTAATTGATTCCTTTCTGGGATTTTTGTTATGGAGAGGGAGAATCTGTTTTTGAGTGAAGGGTATGGTAATTTGCATCAGAACACTGAGATGACAGAGCAGCAGTTTCAGAATTGCTTTTTTAATCCCAATTGGGACAATTCTATGGATCAAAATGATCCCTTTGAGTCTGCATTGAGCTCTATGGTGTCATCTCCGGCAGCCTCCAACGCCGCTTCCGGCGGAGTTCCGGGCAATGGCAGAGGAGGAGGAGGGCAAGGGGAGCATGTTGTGCTCAGAGAACTCATTGGTAGGCTTGGCAGCATCTGCAATTCTGGTGAAATTTCACCTCAGTCTTATGTTGGTGGGAATGCAAGTACTAACAATTCTTGTTATAGTACTCCTTTGAATTCCCCTCCTAAGCTGAATTTGTCAATGATGGATCATCAGATCAGGGGAAGTTTGCCAATTTCAGGGCACCATTTGCCTAATCATCCTAATTTTGCACCATTTCCAGCTGATCCTGGATTTGCAGAAAGAGCTGCAAGGTTTTCTTGTTTTGCTAACAAGAATTTAGGTAGCCTAACTGGCCCAATTGGGTTGAATGAGCCTGAAATTTTACACCAGAGAATGGTTCCATCATCTTCTGGGAAGCTCTCCAGAGTTTCAAGCAACCAGTCCATGAAAGTTTCTTCTGGATCTCAACTTGATGTTGTAGTTCAAGAAAAGAAAGATGGTTGTTTGCAGGATGTTGTTCCAGTTCCTTCTGAGAGGAAATTCAGTAAGTTGTCTAGATCATCGACACCGGAAAACGCGGAATTCGGTGATTCCAGGGAGAATTCTTCACTTTCTGAACAGATCACTGGAGGTGGGGAAACTGCCACAAATGCTCAAAATGATGCCAATTCCAGAAAGAGGAAGTCAGTTCCAAAAGGGAAAGCAAAAGAACAGCCCTCTTCATCAAACTCTGCAAAGGTTGCCAGTGTAAGCAGAATTAGTCCATTTTCTTATGTTTTGGAATTACATTGTTTCATACTTCATATTTTCCTGTTTCTGAGAATTAAAATACCTTCCAAAATGCAGGCTACAGCAGTGAATAATAATGAATCAAACCCAAAAAGAAGCAAGTCAAGTGAAGAAAATGGAAATGAGAAAGATACAACAAAGTCCAAGGCAGAGAAAGATGAAAGTGATGGAAATGAGAAACAAAATAAAGAGAATTCAAAGCCAGAGCCACCAAAGGACTACATTCATGTTAGAGCCAGAAGGGGTCAGGCAACTGATGCACACAGTCTGGCAGAAAGGGTATAGATTAATTAGACACCAATTTTTTTTTACTTAATCTTCAACCCTTTTCTTTTTCTTTTTTTTTTTTTTACTGTTTTCTGATTTCAGATGATGAATGATTGATTTTTCAAACTTTGATGTTGCAGGTGCGCAGAGAGAAGATCAGTGAAAGAATGAAGCTGTTACAAGATCTTGTACCAGGCTGCAATAAGGTAATTAATATGATTGATCTTTGCAGCAAATGGAAGACAGTAAAAAAAAAAAGGGCCTAGTCATATTTCTGAACATAATTTGGACTTTTTTTATTATAGGTGACGGGAAAAGCTGTCATGCTTGATGAGATCATAAATTATGTCCAATCTCTGCAACGCCAAGTTGAGGTAAACTATAATACTGAAATTCCCCAGTTAATCTACATATGTGATTGGGTTAAAAGTTTGTCTAATAACTGAACTGATAACTGTTCTGTTCTGCAGTTTCTCTCCATGAAATTGGCTACAATTAATCCAAGAATGGAGTTCAATTTGGAAACTCTTCTATCCAAAGATGTAAGTCATTCACAAATCATGAAACGAAAATCCTATTTGAGAATTTGGCTCTTTAGACTTTAGGCATGATTTGAAGTTCATTTCCCTATTTTTTTTTCAGGGCCTTCAATCTCAAGGGTCTTTGCATCATAGCATTTACCAACCAGAGACTTCACCAAGAGGATTTCCTTTACCAATTCAATCTCCAAATGGACCCAATTTTGCCAGTCCTAATAATGGCCAAGAATTGCCATTCTCAATGAACCATTTGAATGGTGCCATTGGTAGAAATCAAGGCATCCATTTGCCACCTCTGGACAATTTTGGTGAATCTGCTTCACAGGTAATGAAAAAAGAATCTCATCAGCTCTTTTTCCGATGTGGGACAATACTTCTGACATGGAATAAAAGTGTAATCTTGATTTTTTTTTATATTGCTTTAGGTCTCATCATTCTGGGAGGATGATCTCCATACTGTTGTTCAGATGGGCTTTGGACAAAATCAGACACAGAATTTTCAAGGTTAGTTCTGTTTGGTTCGATTTTTTGATTGGGTTTTTTCGGATTTTTAATTAATATCTGTCCCATTCTAACATACATTTTTTACATTCCCAATATCAAAAAAAAAATACGTACTCAAAAACGACCCAAACATAGCAATGTCACATTTGTATTTGAGATTTTGTAGCAAAAGAACTTTTTTTTTTTCGGGATCACTTTGTTGTATTAATTTCTAACATTTTTGATGCATTGTTGCAGGCATATTGCCCACAAGTCAAATGAAGGTTGAGAATTGAACATGTGAAAAAGAGTACTAATTTCAACATATGATTGATTTTGCATTCAATTGAAGCCCCGAATGAGTGAGGCTTCTGTACATAACCAGAAAGAAGGTGGAAGTTTCCTTCAGAAAATTCGGATCTCTTTTGAAAGAGGAAATTAATTTCTTTTTTTCCTATTCTTAATTTCTACTAATAGAACTGTAATTTCTGTCTATTATTATCAATTTTTTAGAGAATTTTTCACAATCCTCTTTGGCATTTATAAGATCTAATTGTAACATGATGATTAGAACTGTTTTAAAGGGTTGATTAGAAAGGACGGATAAATATGTATTTCAACCCTTTTTTTTCAACACATTTTTTCACTGTTCAGAATTGTATCACTAATTTATTTGAACATTTTTGTATAAAGTAAGTAAAGTATCTCTTTTTCCTCCTCTGTTTCTCTTATGTCTACCACTCATTGTTTTTTTGGCTTAGCTGTAGAGATGTTACCTTCTTCCATCACGTTAATTATTTTGCCCGTCCGAAAAAAGGAAAAAAATCACTTTTGAGGGGGAGGAGAAGTAAAGAAATTACTTTATCTAGGTGCTTTTATGCCGGGAAATGGTTAAAAAAAAAATGCTCCATTATTTATATTTTATGGAAAATAATTTTGATATTTAGAAACACAATTATACTTTAATAAGAGATGTAGAAAGCCTAATAAGCGAAATGAATATATAAGAAAGGGCTGTTTCATTTTCAATTCTAAGCTAGGAAAGCAACATATCAGGGGATTCTTTTTTTTTTCCCAAAAAGAAAAATTCAGAATAATGTCTTAATCAAGAAAAGCTAAAAGAAAGTTAACATTAATAAGAAAAAGGAGGTTTTAACCTTAAATTAATTGCGTGACTTGTGGGAGGACTGGGTTTTTTTTTTCTTTTATTTATTTATTTATTTATTATTATTTATTTTTATTGTTGAAACAGCTGTTAAGTAGGGACAAATGGTGTCTTAAGTCAGTTTTTAAAGAATACATTTTGACATTTCAGATGTAGGCTTTTTGTCTAGCACAATTAGACTAAACAGAAGTATAGTACTTAGAATTGAGCTGGACTCCAATGTCAATCTTGACATTTTGACAACCTTTATGATTCCTCCATATTAAGGATTTTCTTCTTTTTGTTGAAATATATTACTGGTATTCAAATTTCCATTCAACTGTCCTATAATTTTTTTCTTTTTCCCACCCTCAGCAAGGTTAACTGCGTTAAAGTTAAACTAAAGGGTGGTAATTTCACTAGAGTAATGAGATGTGTTTAGAGTATAAAATCATGTGATACATGTTCGATTCTTACTAACAAACTAATTATATTTTTTCACTGAATCAGGTAAGGTAAAGCCATATCTGTTACTACTTCCGTCCCAAAAGAATAGTCAATATTGAGTTTTGAGATTTGTACTAGTTTTAATTTTAATTTAAAAACTCAATGTGGACTATTTTAATGGGACAAAGAGAATATTTTCTTAGGTGTTCATACAAATTCAAAGTATTGTAACCAGTTGTCGTTACTATAAATTATATGAGGCAAGTATTATCAATCGCATAATTATAACCAAAACAATAAGTCAAGAACAAAGAACATACTATACCCATTATGTAACCCATCCCTAAGTATATGCCTCTTACAAATAAAATAAAATAAAAATAAAATACTAATAGTGACCTTCAAGATCCAATTTAAGAATAATTGACACTTAAAGCATATAGTACAACTTTTCACGCAGGTTATTTTTTTTTTTTTTCATTATGCATTGCATCACATATATCACTACGTTAATAATATAGCTAGTACTACCTTCGTTACATAATTATTGTCCAGTTTGGATTTTCATTTCTAGTTCAAATTATATTAAAAGTAAAATCTCAAATTGTACAATAATTTTAGGATAGAGAGAGTATTACAAAAAGACGTAAAAATTTATTTGTTCTTAAGCACTTTACATAAAAATAAAAATTCACATCAATCTTTTCCTTCTCTTTTTCATACAACCTTAAACTCACAGTCACAGTCGAAGAATGTTCTTACAAAGAAATAGCCAAAATAAGTACAGTTCCCTTTTTGAATAGTTAATAGGGTAATTTAGTGAAACCCCGACAACCCCACTGCCGTCCCCCAAGTTAAAAAAAGAATTAGATAAAGTTTTTGCATGTGAATTTGTTCGACACACATGAAAGGAACAATTTAAAATGTACAAAGGCCACAAAAGAACAGAAATTTTGAATTTATTTTTTATTTTTTGGATGTCTAAATGAACCTTTTGTCACACTTGTTTTTTATTTTTTATTTTAAAGAAAGGACATTGTAAATCCAGGCTGGTCGAACAATGAAGTTCTGAGACTTTGCTAAGGAATTGGAGAACAGTTCAATTTTTAATCTACCTTATTAGAAATTCATGTAAGAACTTCAGTGGATAGATCGAAGGATAAAGCCAGCTATAGCAGTCAAAATGGGGACAGTTAAACGCCTGTAAAACAATCATATTGTATTTTCCGATCTACTATTATTATCTTGTAATAAATAAAATAATTATTATAAGAAAAACAAAATATATAATTTTCGTTACGCATTTGGCAAACATTTAATTAAAAAAATATTATAGAAAGTGTTACATAAAAAGAAAATGTTACCGAGATTTTTTTCTTTTTGTTTTTTTTTTTAAGAAAAAATTTAGCCATGAAAGGTTTGCTGTCCAAGAAATTAAAAACCACGAAATTCTGTATGTCTACATGGGAAAGGAAATTATCCCAACATTTTAACAGATACATTTCAACTATATATCAATAATTTACCCAAATGTTTCCATGGTGTTCTCTGTCAGGTGTCGTTTTTCTATCATTAAGGTTCTTGCTAACATAAGCTAATATCTTTGGTTAATATTAGGAAGAGACACGTAAGAATAATAATTAGTATCTAAGATTCTGCTTTATGTTTTTGCTTGAGTGTGGTGAAACAGTAACTTAAGATCCCATCGACAAGAATGTCAAAGTAAGATCCCAAAGAAAAGCTTCCCTGATATGGTAAATTAAGTAGTCAAAAAAATATTTTTTTCCACCTTCTAAAGAAGTCAATTTATTTGGTGCGAGAGGAGACCAAAACATGTATCAATCAAATTATTTATGTGACGCTAGGAAATATATTTGCTTTTCCTCATAAGAATGAATCATTATCCTTGAAAACGAGAGAAACTCTAGATCGATGTAGATCGTCTAGTTTGAACTTTTATTTTTAGTATAAACTGAATTAAAAGTAAAAATTCAAACTGTACAATAATTTTGAAACACATAGAGTATATCTTTAATATGGTAAGAGAATGCATATATTATAGTTAATCCATTTATTGTAGTTACAATTTTAATTTGTTCAGGTTTATAAGAAAGTTTTCATAATAATAAACCTGATAATAACTGAGTTTGTAGCATATTGACCACTCAAGATAACCATGGGTGATTTTAAATTCTATTGCTAGAGGTTTCAATTAAGTTGAAACCTATAAAAGAGGAGTTTGCCATATCCTATACAATTCATGTTTTCCTTCTCAAGTGTTGAATTCAATGTAACACGAGCATGACCTATTAAAATTTTATCACCTTATATGAGATTGTTTAAATGAAGATTATGAGAAATATAACCCCCAAAAAAAAAAGAAAATTGTTGATAAAAAAACTTGAAACTCTTTGAAAAGACATAGCAGCATTTTCCTTGATTTACTCATGAAATGATTGACGAAATTGGTCCACAATGAGATTATGAATATGAGAATGAGAGTATATGATGGAAAATGTATTGCTGGTAGGAGATTAAAATTGAACTGATCATTAGAGAGAGGGGGTTGGTGTTCGGGAGGTCCAATTACCAGGCTGTCACTCGTCCTAACAAATGGTGTACAAATTAATCACACCCAACCCCTCTATTTCCACTTTATGTCCTTTTCTTTCAACTTAAGATGGCATTTGCTAACAAACCCTTGTTTGGTACGATTTTGATTTATGGTGAAAGAGAAGCCCCCCACAGCTGTTAAAAACCTATCATTTTCCAAGATCATGCCCCCAAATTTTACTAAACATTGTCTCAAATCTTATTAAGATTGGAGTAATGATGTATAGAATCTCTTATGGTGATTGCTTAAGTAATTACTAATCATTACTCGTTAACGTAATGAAAAAAATTAAGCCTTCAGGATTGGTCTCAAAATAAGAATCTAATTTGTCATAGATAAACTCATTATTACGGATGTCGAATTTAATAGAAGCCTAATTTATTTACTGATCATTACTTGTGAGCATACTAGCTAGTTGTGTTACATTAGTTAAGCAAGCTGAAATCGGTTCCGCAACAAGAAAAATATTCCTTTCTGTCACAAAATTATTATTATTTAGTTTGGAACTAAAAATAAAAATATAAACTGAACAATAATTTCGAGACGAAGAGAGTATCACAATTACTATGAAAATTTTGATATTAAAATACATGTAAAAAGATTGAAATTTGTATCATAAGTTTAAATTTCACATTTTTCTTTTCAGAGAATTCCAAATCGATGAGATACATATCTTAACAAATTACAATTTTCTATCCTTAATATCGCATTCAACTTTCACTGCGTCAAAACATCACTGAAATAACAATTCAATATCACGAAGAGTACATGCAACTCTGCACGTCTTTCCCTAAACAGTTGTAATCAAATTTGTTTTGTAAAACCATCAAAGACGTGTCGATTCTCTAGCGATGACTTCCCCAATGATACAAAGTCATGTAGCCCCTACTGCTGCTTTAATTTGTCCTTGTTAATAATACCATGCACATATTATTACTGATGATTTCTTGAAGAAACATCATCTCATGTTCATGTGGCCTATGCTTAAAATTTACTTCCTCAAACTTCCTCCTCCACCAGATTTTTTTTATACTCCCTCCGTCCCATAATTATTGTCCAATTTAGGTTTTCATTTCTAGTTCAAATTATATTAAAAATGAAATCTCAAACTGGACAATAATTTTAAGACAGAGAGAGTACAACAGTTTTTTTCTTTTTTCTTTTTTTTTTTTAATTATTTGTTCCCTATCTTTCTTTTGAATGCATAATTGTGATGTCTATAAATTTCTTTTGCAACTATACTCTGGCGTAAACACACTAACACTATCGTGTTACAAATAGTTAATGTCATTTATATTTTCTGTGTAAATTGAGTTATCGTATTATAACTAATTCTTCACTAGCATTTGTAAGAATGGTTGCTGTTACTAGATCGGAGAATGTCTCTTTCAAAACCATTTCACCATTAATTTGTGATATGCACAAGTTACTATCTTGTCTTTTCTTCCATGACTCAAGATAAAATTTCATTTCCATCCAAAAAATGAATGGCCCGGGTTGAAACTACACTAGCTACTTGCATTGTTTGTTTCACTTTCATTTTATCTTCTGATTTGAACTATATACCCTATATGGTCTCAAGATGGTCCACCAAGCTAAGAGAGATACATGTCATAGAAGACAAACCCACAAGCCTCTTGTTTTATGGTCTTCATGATATCATAGTTTGCCTACAAAAGAATAAGGGAAAAAAAGCTGCCAAAATGGAACAAGTAGTTTTAAGTTACTTGTGGTCTGTCTGCATTTTGTAGGCCTTATTTTTTTTCTTTAACATTTAGGTACAAAAAGATACTTCTATCACTCACTTGAAGGTTAGATTGCCCCCAATTTTCCTAACACTTAAACCAAAATAATAAATGATCTAAAGCTACTAACTTCAGTGCTTGTTTCTTTAGGGATCTTCCTACAGGACCTCCCTTTGTTCTTATGCCACCGCTGGTAAGATAGGACCACTCTATCCATTCAAATCTACCTCTCTATTCAGCCAGGAATAAATAAATAAATAAATGAGAGAATCATATATGGACTGAACATGAAAGAGATCTATCTTACATGTTGGAGTAAGACGGATCGAAAAACATTATTTTATAGACTTGAATTGACAAGGGGAAGAACTAAGGAAAATGGAAGAAAAGTAATCAAACTCAACATGTTTATTTGGACTTTAAAGGAAATGTGTTTTATGTCCGATCTTTTATAACCGCTTTGTAGCAGTAAAAAATTCTCATTAGCATGCCAAGTTCGTAGGAACCCTTGGATCAGAATCGTATACTCCACGAAATCAAGACTATAGATGAAGACCAGCATATTAGTAAGTAGAGGAAGTAGATGTTTCTGCAAAAGACTGAACTGACAAAACATCTTCTATAGATCAGTTGTATGAGCTTTCACAATTGGTGAACTTAGTATCAGACATATAGCGAACAACATTCTCTCCAAAGCTGTGTATTGAACTATAGTGAACTATAATACTACTACATACAACATTGAGTTACAAGAGGACACCTAAATATTGCAACGATCATACCCTGTAAACCAAGAAGATGGCTCTAAATGTGATGATTCCCCATCTTCAGTGACGTAATAAGGTGCAAACTCTTCCCGCCATTGCTCACTTGTAACTGCAATATCATCTGATACTGCTGTGGGTTCATCACAGCCAAACTTGCCCACTTCTTCCGAGGGATTAGAATTTCCACATAGCTGTCTCAAACGGCGGATTTCTTCCTCATGTTTATTCACCAATGTATCTTTTAGTTTGTAAGCCATCTGCATTTCTCGCTCCGCCTCTATGGCTCGATTCTGCACATTTGTTTCATCAAATTAGATACTAAAGAGATTCATACTGAAAAACTTTTTAGCATATAATAAAGCAAAATGGATGAGAGCATCTTTCAAAAGAAATGACATGCATAACAGCAAAAGTGACAGGGAAGTTGCAACGTTTTTTGATGTGTGCCAAAACTTATGCAGCCAGCAACAAGTGCTTGTATACCGGAAATACCGATCATGCATATAAAAAGAGCAGTGGAGATCAAATAAACTTATGCAGAAATACTGATCATGCATATAAAAAGAGCAGTGGAGATCAAATAAACCTTCAACATTCAGTCCATTCACTCAGCATAAACAATTTCATCTCCATTCTAAGTCAACAACATATCACCCGCCCAATTCTTATATGCATGGGAAATAAAGAGGTCAACAGTAACATAAGCCATGACAACATTCCATACTTGCCTAAAACAAAATATTATCATACACATGTACTACAGTTCCTACTATTCTAGAGTTAACAAGTATGCGTAGACTTCCATAAGAAACGGAACAGATGGAACAGACAAGAAAACAAGTATGCGTAGACTTCCACTGATCACCTATTTAAAAGGACTCATGAAATAATTAGTGTTACTTTCAGAATAGCAGGTAACAGGAACTTATGAAATGTTTGCCCAATTTGAAGAAACAATGTGACATTGTTCCTTGAGCCAAATTCTCAGCAGTGCAGGAGGGGGAAGTTAAATCCAGCTCTATAGATGCAGAAAATATGCATGGAGAATTGGGCTTTTGGAAAAATCAAGTAGGGGTTAAAAATGAAAAGGATCCCATGACCAAGTTTGCAAACTCACCTCAGCAGCAGCAATTGCTTCTTCAGCCTCTTTAAGTCGAACAAGTAATTCACCAGCAGCCTCTACAGCTTCAGCAGTATCCCTTAGTTGGGCCTGCAGTCCTTTGATTTCATCCTTGAAGTACCTTCTTTCTTTTTCCCTATCAACCCTTAGGGCTGATATTTCCGCAGCAAGAGCATTAATGAACTTTGATTCAGCACCCCGTACTCCAGCCCTGGCAGCAGCTTTCTTAATGTCTTCTACTCCATCCTGAAAACTCCGATGTTTAGCCAGTAGTTCAATGTGCTTTTCTTCAAGTTCTGCATACTGTTCAAGCATACGAGCATGGCCTTCCATTGCCAACTGCATTGCTTCTTTTAGCTCCTCTGAACACTTCTTCTCCGACACTAACTCTTGCCTTTCCTTCTGCAAGAGTGTCTGGGAAGCTTCAAGTTCTGTCCTCAAGTTTTCTACCACAGAAATCCACTTTCCCTCAGCTTCAGCCCACTGAATTCTCTCTTGTTCAAACCTTTGTTCAGCATTCTGCTCATTTGACTCTCGAGCTGTACACAAATTTGAAGCCAAGCTTGGCTGACATGAATATGTTAATTGCAATAAAGGGCCCTTTTTTCTTGAAAATTTTGGAGAAGAATCTACATAAAACTGCAGCTGGTTTCTCAAATCTTGAATCTCTTCCAGTAAGACATCCCTCTCACCCAAGTCAAAGAAATTTCGATACCGCTGAAGATCATCTTGAACTCTTTTCAGCTCAATTTTTGTTCTCAAAATCTCCGGATGATTTTCGTACTTTTCCTTTAAAAGCTTCATGCACCAAGACCAAAGACAAATAAGAATACGAACTGATATCAATCAATTCCTAGTATCGTAATAGGCAAAATAGTAGATCCATACCTTGTGCTCATGAGTCAGTGAAAGTAGTTCTTCGTCCTTAAACTCTTCAGTAGATAGGATCCCGTCCATCAGGCTCTCAAGTCGGAAAATTTTATCTTCCCGAGTTTGACTAATTATTGCATTGCATTCTCTCTCGTGCTTATATTGCTGTACCTGTGAAGTCCAAAAAAGAAACAATTAAATCAATCTTTGATTATGTAGTTTTTTAGGAATTACAAGGCCTAACCTACCAGTCGATTGAGGTGCATGATCTCAGAACTTTGTTTAGCGCACATCTCTTCGAGTGCCATCTCTCTTCGTATAGCTCCGGCCAATACTTTTTCAACAGCCTACAAGACAAATTTAATCGGAACAGACACATAAGAAACACATGCTGAAATAAGTACTAGCTGGGAAAATAAGAAACTTTACTTACTTTGGGAACTTGAGACTTGATCTTGTCACTACATAGAGACTCTTCAATGGGCACTAGCTGCAAATTCGAGCAATCATTTTCATCTTTAGATGCTTCCTGGGAATTCCTGTTCTTGCATTTGCTACACAAGAAAATTGATGAATGATCATTCAAAGATGTAGTTTCTGGAGGAAGTGTCTGAATGCCAACATCAACTTTTGCAATTGATGGGATTGCTTTAGAGTGCAGAGCGTATGAGTTTCTGAAGGAAGACCTCCTGATGGATCCACTCTGGTGATGGCCATCTAAAATTTCAAGCCCCCGTTGGAGACTGGCTGCTAAATGCTGAGTTGATCTCAAATTTCGAGTTCTTTTACTAGATAAATCCAGGCAGATGCTATTTGAGGGCTTGGCGAATGACAGACAAGGATGTACAAGTTCCAATTTGTCATCCCCCAAATCTTTATGGGAGGCACTTACCATTGTTGAAGTTCTGAGACTTTTTCTACTGCTGTTAGTAACTGTTGGTGAAGTGCTAGGAGGCGGGGACTTCAGAATTGGGGATATATCAAAAGGGACAAGGCTGAGGTCAGTAGTTTTCCCACCCTCTTCAAGGTTGTTTGAAGATGGTGTCTTTTCCATTTTATCCTCTGTTGTATCTTGCTTCGACATATCCTCCTGAACATGAATTTTTGGCTCTTCACTCTCTAAATTCTGGTCGATAAATTCAGCAGGCCCCTCCTCATTCTGCAGTTCAAGCAACTTATTGTTTAGTAATTTAACTGGTGAGCTTCCAGCAATACCCTGCTCACAGCTATGGTTATTTTGATTCTGAAAGTTAATGTGATGTAATACATTTCCTGCTACAACACTTACTTCATCTTTGCCGATTTGCTCAACTACTTCTTCCATGTTTACATCAGTATCCTCTAGAGCTGGTTCTGCTCCGGATGAACTTTTAGATGTCTCACACAATGGTTCTCCATTGTTGCATGCTGGTTGGAGACTAACAGGTTCATCTTGCTGCACAATTTCCATTTCTTCATCGCTATCATCATCAATCTGTGGTAAAGTCATTGGACGGTTGAGGCTGAATTTAAGGAGATTCAAACTTCTTCGGGCATTCCAAAGTTTGGAATTGGTTCCATTGACCTCAGCTTGATTTGAATTAGACTTCATGCGGAGTAACTCATCCTGTTAATAGGAGGCAGCATAAGTCACAATGTGATGTAGATTATTTCCCAAAATGTTGTTCAAATAGGTAACCCCAAAATGAAAAGTTGTTCAAATACAAAATGAAGGCATGAAAATGTGCAGTATACCTTCAACTGCCGAATCACTTCCCTCAACTCATTCACATCATCAGGCATTTCTTCATTAATAGTTGCCTTGTTCTTAATTGCCTTTGCCCGTTGAGCAAATCTAAGCGTGCTAAAGGTCTCACTCTTGCACCTACAAAATTGAAACAAAAGGACTAGTTAGAGAAGATAGGCAAAATGAATATCAAATTGAATTCTTCAACTAAATAAATAATATGATCAAATCACCTTTGTGATGGAGAGATGGCACAAATCATTGCAAGTTTTGCGTTACCACCCAGAGATTCTTGCAATAAAAATGTCAATTTGGAATCTCTATAGGGGATGTGTCTCTGCTTGCCAGTTTGAGAAACCTCCGCAAGAATGTTTATTAAATTCCTGTAAAAGGAAACGTCAATAGAAGAAAATTAAGTAAATAATGACAATTGCAGCATAAAAAAAATGAAGTCAAGAAAGGAAACAAACGCAAGTCCCTCCTACCTAGATGACGAAACATGAAATGCAAGGCCAAAATATATAGCCAAACTTCAAAAAGAAAAATCATTATTAAAATAACTGCTGCCAAAGGTATAGGCTTTGATTTAACAATCACAGCTCTTGAGATTCTTTTAACCAAAAAATATAGATTTTCTTCTAAGAATTTGGCAATCTGATGATAATAACTTTCGGCAGCAGGAGTAGTAGACGTGTGGAGGTTGGCTCATTGGAAACAGTCAAGGACAAAAATGGCATTTACGAATGTAAGGTTACTACTGGGAATCAAATAGAAGTGCGTTGCAATCAACAACAATGTGCAAGGATAAATTAAAAGAAGTCCACAATACAATCCATGACCACATAAAACTGGTAAAACAGAAGACAGGGAGAAACCCTACCCAAGCTGTGAAAGGGAGCGGTTAATATTCCCTGCTTCTTTCAAGCGATCCCCTGCTGCACCTGTGAGCTTCTGCCTTTCAGATCCAGCAAGATCTACAAGATTTATTCTACTGGTTTTCAAGTAGTTTAACCCGTCTGACATGCTCTGTAGAAATCAACAATTAGCTATGACAAGAATCTTGCAGCAAATGATTCATAAAATCATATATGCAAGAAAAGGGAAAGCACATGGTTTTATTTGGAAGCAAGTCACCTTGCATCGTGATTGAACAACACAAGTGAATACGCTATGAGATCGGGAACTGTCAGCATTTATACTCGTGGAGCCAGTTCTCCTGTTTGACAATCCCTACAAGATTCATCAGATTTATGCAAGATCAGAAAAAGTTGCTTCTTCAAGAAAAAAAGCCTTGAAGAATTGTAAGAGGATTTCAAGATACTAACAACAATAACAAAGTTAACATGTACAAGTTGCATGAAGATGTCAACATGGATTCCAGAGGCCAAGGCTCAAACAATTTGGTTTTAGAGCAAATTTCTTGCCTTGTCACAAATCTGTCTTTTAAAAATGATAGATGGAAGAACAGTCATACTGGTACACTCATGTCACAAAAAAAAAGAGCTACAATTCTACAGAACCTTAAAACAACAGCTTCCATCAGGAAGAAAGCAGGGGGGATGATACTAGGTCCTTGGTTGATTAAAATCTTCATAAACCAGAAAGCTGGAGGATCTTTCAGAAGTTAAAAAAAAAAAAAGAATCCAAAACTTCAAAAGAGTTATAAATTCAGATACTTTCATTGCTCAAGCTGCAAGAAAGATGTGTTTAATATATTTGTGAACCTGAGCTATATTAATTTTCAACCAATGTGGCTGAGAAAAGAGATCCATTTTAGGGAGAGAAAATTATTGTCAATCCGTTCTTATCAGATATCTGCCTAATGTCAACTCTACAGGAACATCATATTCAGAAAATGTTATTTGATTGAGCTCCAAGGAAAGGAATTGTTGGAAATTTTACATACCTTAATCAAAAGCTGTGTAACATCTTTCATAGTGTATACATATTCCTCCGTCAGATTCTCAACATAAACACCAGTTTTAACATCTTCTCTGAGCTGTTAAGCACATTGGAAAAGTCAAATGTAATAGAGAGCTTGGCAGAAAATCATAGATAATTCTGCATCACAATAAACAATAGAAGTATATCACAAACTTACCAGGAGATTTTTCTGACTGGGATCCAACAAATCAGTAATTTGTTCATTGTAGATCTGTTCACCCAAACAAGAAGAGATTAAGTTCTAGCTTCACATCAGAGAATAAAAAGGGACCAGAGAGAAGGCTGTCTGACCTCAAGGAATGAACATCGGCACTGATATACAAGCTGTCTGTCTGCATGCTTAGTTTGTTCCTAATAGAAGTGAGCACGTTAATTAAATGTGCAGGTAACACAAAGAATCAAATCGAGTGACTTTCAGAAAGAGAACAATACCTCATTGATTCTTTCAAAAAGACGCTGGAAAACACGAGGTGTCAGGCCCTGTTCATCATTCGATAAATTTTCTTCTAATGCTTTTGCAGGACCCCATACAGTGTAAGTTTTTCCGCTACCTGTCTGTTCAATGAAAATGCAAAATATTCAGGTTCCGATATCAAATATCAGAAAACAGCACAAAACTGTATTCCATCATAGGTGGAGAGCAAACATTCATACTTCAGTCAATTTAAATGCAGCACTGTAAAACCAAGATTAGCTAACAATACCTGACCATAAGCAAATACAGAGCTATTGAAGCCAGCAAGGCAATTCTCTACCAGAGGAGCTCCGACAAGCTCGAATATGTCAATCTGAATATAACATTCCACAAATATTAAGAAACTCTTCCTTCAGTGATTTGAAAATGAGCATTCACTACTAGAAGCATGCAATAACCAATTGTCTTGCCTGTCTTGACTTGAAATCAGCTATAGAGTCAAATGTGAAGGTATGTCCTGATATTGACAATGAATCATTAGAGACCTTCTGAACAATCATTTCTCCCTCTTCCTCATCCCTGTTCAATGGCCTCATTCGTACTATAACCTGGTTTAGGCAAGAACGAAAGAATCACAATGTAGCCAGCAAAAATTATTCAAAAATTCCTACTTGGTACAATCAAATTATCCATTGACAAATATTAACGCAGTAGTTTTGTCCATTTATAATCAATCATATGATTAGTTTTTGTCCTTTCTTGTTCCTTTCATCCTATTGAGTTCAAAAGATCTGGTGAAAGGCAGAAAAGATCAGTCAACCCCACAAGCATTTCCTTTCTCTCTTCCATGATTCCTCCAAAACAAGATTAGATAAGAACAAACCATTGCATTCAATGAATCAAATCCTGGGCTGTCGATAATGAACCAGACAAGGTAAAAATGCACTAGCTCATACTACCATTTTCTGTTATTCGAAAATCAATAAACAATCTGGTAAAGGTATAACAAAACACAAAGTTGCTAAGGTGATGATTCCGACCACTCTTAACAATACTCTTGTGTTGTGAATACAACAATTGAAAGAAAAGGTTAATGAAAAGTACTACAAGTAACATTAACTTGATTGGGGCATTATTCTTGCTATATGAATTTGATGGTTCTCCCAAAGTACTAGTTTCAATTTTCACTTCCCACATAGCATCATCCAACTAAACTACCATGGAGAAGTGCAAACTTGGAAACTCATTGCCCCTGAGTGAAACATGAGGGAACTGATTCTTCTCAGTTCAAAGTCAGCATTCTGTTACTAAAAAGCCTTCTACCTAAATTTAACGTCAGACTCGGTGCCTAACCCATCAGTTACAATACTTATTCCTTACCCAACCAATCTCTCAGCCCTCCCAAACATAAACCTAAGTCAAGCCGATGAATATTGAATGCAAAGGCACAAGATTGAATCGAATCAAGCAAAGAAATGAAACTCAACGTTACTAAATTCCTGCCCTTTTGACATATTTATACACTTCTTCCCAAATTAAGTTTATAAAATTAATTAAACACCCTTTCATAAATTTAAACACGTAGAAATTCCATCAAGAATTAGTTTATCTCCCTCAGTGGCATAAATTTGTACTTCAAATGAATTTTTACAATGACAGGTACATACTTCCAAAAATTCAATCCTAGGGTTTCTGCTCGCATTTCGATTTTCAAGTGAAAGTCCAAACACAATTCATAAACGTTAATCTCTAATAACTACCTACTCGCACCAAGAAACAAAATACGATTAAGAAGAGAAAACTTACTCTCACTCCGGAATCCGCAGAAGATCCGGCAGCTGAATGGGCCGCTTTCTCCGATCCAGAGGCCTCCATGCTCAGCTTCCTCTTAATCGGCGGTCTTGGCGGAAGCGGAGATTTAACCTTGGCCGCCGACATGGGTGAGGGAACCAGTCTCCTTATTTCGCCTTGTGATGTGTAATCCATCGGAGCTTGATTCATCTCCGACGGCGACGCGTTCTCCTTGGAACGCTTCCGACTGCTATTACCACCGGCCGTAACCATTGGAGTCCTCTGTTTACTAGGGTTTGGCAATGAATTAGGCGCGAGACAAAACGACGGCGATTCATTGGAGATTTCCTTCAAGGTAGTGTTTCTCGGTTGCATAAAGTGCTTCATTTCTTCCCGAGAATTCAACCAAGAATCCAGAAAAAAAAGAAAACAAAAAAAACAAGAAATAAACACGCACACACACAGTGAAGTATTAACAGTGAGAGATACAGATAGAGAGATTTAGAGAGAGAAAGAGAGAGAAGGTTTGAGTCGGACAAGAAAGCGGAAGAAGATGAATCCAATTGAAGAGGGGAGAGAGAGAGGAATTAGCCGTTAGGAAGATTGGGATGAGGGGGGAAAAGGGCAGGGGAAAATTTTGAATAGGGGAAAGGAATTTGGGGAAATGCGAGACCGACCCGGATCGTATATGGATACCTCTTCGAAATTAAAAAATATTGAAAGGATTTTTTTTTTAACAGTTATTTTGAAATCTTTTTTTCCTGGTTTTTAAACTTTGGTTCAGCAGGATTGAAGGAATTATTAAGGCTCAATGACTATTCACATGGGCTGCTTTTTCCCTTCTTCAATTCAAAATAATATTCCCCTCTCTTATTTTTCAAAAAATAATGTAGATAACTAACCGCCTAAGTATAGTTTACATATTACGGAACGTGTCCAATAGTTCTTCATGTAACAACTACAAATGAATGATCGATAAGGATGAGTTTAGACATTCTGGCCATTATTAACTTTTAAAAACACCAAACAATCTTTTAAAAAATTAATTTTACTACTTCATCTTAACTGTCCACTTGTGACCCAACTTTCACGTCCCTTTGGCGTAGAGGCAAGAACTTGGATATTAGATATCGACAATGACTTCGGTAAACTCTAACTCATAAGCCAACGAAAGACTATAGGATGAACTCCTATACTTCTGCCCCTGCTACGAATATTATTTATAGTGAAACTACTCCCTAACGTTTCCTTATTTGTCCACCGGCTCCCTAGTCCCCAAATCCAATGATTCCCAAACATGCTTCCTCTGTTAGTTACGAGATAGTATAGTTCTTTTCCTCAACTAAAAAAATTCCGGGAAAGGAGATTATAGGAAATGATTTTTTTAGAACTTCTTCAATTTTTACAGTGACAAAGTTAGGAAGCAGATACGGTTACATTCTTTTTGTGTTTCAATTTTGTACAAAGACATTAGATTTGTAGTAGAAAATTACTCGTTTAATTAGCTCATTTCACAACTATTTATAAACTATTATTTTTGTAAGTCTCGCATCCTTTTCGATCGGTACTTGTTGCTATATTGTGTCTAAGTGGCTATGAATAGTAACTCATGTTGCCATTAAAGAACACACAGACATCTTCACTAAATGATCCCCAAGAGAAAGCTTTGAATTAATACTTCATCAGCAAGCCGATCGGTCTCTTGAAGAGAATGCTAATTCTTGAGGAATCCTTAAGATTATGGGACGAAATTTCAACAGTATTGTAATTGCACTGGAAGAGTTAGACTTGGAGATAATCATGAACTTTCTTTTGTTTCCTTGACCGCCCCATTTATTTATGATCTAACCATATACCAATCAATCACCTTTTGAGTCTCTTCTCCTAAAACCCTCAAAAGCGAAAAACGGAAAACATTATGAAATTCGTAAAAGAATGATTCATATGAAATGAATGAAGGAGTATATACACAAAACCAAAAAATAAAAAGAAAGAAGTTTTGAGGTGGAAAATACAGGTTGTTCATGGAAGAATTCATACGTAATATGACGGGGGAAGAAAAGCAAAAACAAATTTAGGAAAAGCAAACTATAACCATATATCTCTACGGGGATGGATAAAAACATAATATGGACGGAGGTGAATTGGAACACAATTAAGACTCTACATCTTATCTCTAAATAATTATCCCCCTGTTTTTAAAACTTACTCCCCTTCGATCCTTAATATAAAGCATTTTGATTTATCCTAAATTTAATATAGTACGCATTTTTAATTGACAAAAAAACCTTAAAAATATTTTAAAAGTTTTTCCATCAATTGAAAATGAGTATTAAGTGGAACATAAGACAAAATCAAAATGGCTTATATTAAGGACCTGAGAAAATACAATTAAACTTGAATATAGACAAACTAACTCAGTTTTCAGTAACTTCAGAGTAGTAATTGATTGCTATCAATTTGTATTCGTATTCGAGTCATGTAATTTTTCTTTTTCTCAAAATTAAAATTTTCTAGTTAAGTTTGCCAGAATTTGCTAAGTACTAAAAACAAGTAATTAGTGAGTCCCCAATATTCTTTTGGAAAATATTTATATGAATGAAGTAAAAAATCTTTATTAAGAAGATATATAGGTGAGAAGATAAATATTAGTTATTTTTTAAGGGGGAAATAAAGTTAATTAAGAAAAAAAAAGTGTCCAAATCTCTCTCCATTTTACTATTGGAAAAGATGGGCGAGTATTTATAAACCTAATAGTTCAATTCCTCATAAAACAATTACAATTTCACTTCGCTGTTGGAAGAATTGTTGCAGCAATTTGAAGTTTCAAGAACAACATGTCCAACGTGAGTTACATCTAATATTTTCATTTATCGCAATTTCATTTCTTTTCTGTGTCATAATTTTTATTTGGTTCATTTGGTTGTTATTTTCTTTTCTGATGAATTTAATTAACAGTCGGCGGAAGAAAACACTTTCCAGAAAGCCGATGAAGCCGACGGCGGCAACGCGGACTTGACGATGGAGGAGAATTCGGATGCGGAAGAGCTTGACGTCGACGATGATGATGAGAATCATAAGTATTTTGAAGCGACCAAAGGAAGGGATTTGGATTTGGTTGATGAGGACAAATTTGAACCTCTCACTGGAAAACCCCATTGTCACTTTATTCTTTCCAAGACCAACGTCAAACCAACTTATCGCATGGTAATTTCTCTATGAATTCCCAATCTTTTTTTTTTTTTTTTTCCTTTCCTTCACAACTACTCCTCCTGTATTTATTATAAGTTATTTTTATTTATTCTATATTTAATTTATTGTGTTTTTCTAAATTAAAATTAAACTTAAAAAAATATGGTATGATGATTGACTAAACACGATAATTGTAAAAATATATTTTTAAAATTTTATTATCGATTAGAAGAGCATAATAAATAAAATTTAGCATAAATCAAAATATCTTATAATAAAGACAGGAAGGAGTAATTGAAATTGAAACTTACAGGATTAGCATTCTATATAAGAACATGTTTGATAATAACGTTAATCACATGCTTAAAATTTAACCAATTATCATCTTTTGCATAGCGCCCTTTGTTTTCCCCTTCTTTTATGTATTTTTACGAGTTCAAAAATGCGTGTGAGAATGACTAAACAGCAAATTTTGGCAAAATTATTTTAGATAGCAATGATAGAGTTAATAAAGAACAAAATACTTTAGAACTTCATAATAACTTTAGTACAAGTCTCAAAATTCAACGGGACTGTTTTCTTCTTCTTCTTATTTATTTATTTATTTTTTGTATGGATAGAGAAAATACAAATTATTTTAAAATTGTGAAATCCCAAAGTGAACATTTTTTCAGGACAGAGGGCATACATATTAACTCAATGTTTTTTATGCTAATCTTTGATATGTAATTGTGATTAGGTGTTTCCAACCAGTTTGCACAAACATCTTCCATCTAAATCCATCCCAGCAGAAATAATATATGGTGGAAAAGCTTGGAAGACAATATGTTTGGTTGACAAAATTCACAAGAAATTAAATTATCAATGGAAGAATTTTGTTGATGCAAATGAACTCTGGGTGGGCGACGCAATATTTTGGGAAGTGTTGGAAATAAACACTAAAATGGTGAAGCTCAAAGTTCAGATTATCCGAGGTGATAATCCATTCAACGAGATAGATAGTGGTGAGACTGAAGATGCTGCCATCATTGTTGATTAAGGTTGGAACCTTTTAAATTTTTTTCGATTTCAAAAGTTTAGTACTAATAAAGAGAATTTTTGTGTCTTTATGTTTTTTATATAAAGTGATTTTATTAATATTGACATTTTTCTACATAATCTACATCATGAATGTTCTTATCTTCAGCCCACAAATTTGAAAAGATAGAAAATTATTTGTTTTAATTTCTTTTAGTTTTATACTAGATGTTAAACCCGCACGATGTGCTGGGTAAAAGACAATATTTTATTTTTTTAGAAAAAATATCACATGTATAAATCATAAGTTTTGAAAATAAATTATTTGAATGAATATGGAATAAACGGAAATATTGTAAAAATGATATGATATATTAAAAAGGAATATAACTTTGACATCATGAATGTGCAGAGTACAAAAAGCCTCTTAAATTGGATAGGATGGACAACACCGATCATGTTTAGCTAGCACATGTATATATGTATTCTCGATAAATAAATTATTTTAAGAGAAAAATAAAATTCCTTTAAATCCTTTGTTAAAATGATCTATTGTCCAACCACTCGATGCATCTAAACAAAAAGAATAACTGATTAACTGCAAAAAAAAATAAAAAGAAGAAATTACATTAGAAATCCTCTTCCATCATAAACCATACCCCACTTCTCCTATAGCCTACTGTATTTGAGAGTCTACCAAAAAGATACTACTATCAAGTACCACTACTATTAACCAGGACAAAATAGTAATAAACCCTATTTTCATTGGAACATCTCATTAATTCAAAATCTATTAAAAGGACTTCAAGAAACTGATAGGACCCAATCAAGCAAGACCAAGGTCAAACTATTATTAAAATCCGGGTCACCCAAGTGAGAAGCGGATCTAAAACCGGGTTGTCCACTTGACATAATGGGACCCACAATTACCGCTTATAGTTACAAAGGGAAAAGTGTTATGCTGACCTGATTGAGCTGCCACAGACGTTTCTGGCAAAGAAGACAGAGGTGGCGGATCAGAGAAGTAAGGCCAGCCGGAAAAAGACAATAGACCAGACAAAAGGGGTTTTGACCCTAACATCACATGCTCCCCAAACGATCCAGACCCTTGATCTTGATCCTGATTCTGCCTATATATATATATATGTATATATATATATATCCTACTATGGCCTCGAAGGTTAGGGTTACATTATCATTACTTCTTTTAGCTATCTCACTCCCACATCCTCTAACTTAGGCATCAGAGTGTTTGCCCGGGGCTTGACCCGGGACTTACACTGACGTTCTCTGTTTTGCAGGAGAAGCTGATAACCTATTGATAATTGGTGGTGGATAATTTGACTTCCATCATTTGGCGCTGACTGTGGGGAGAGGTAGTACATTACTTAGAAGTGCTCCTCTTTTCCACTCATAATCAGAGCTAAAACAACCTCAGGGCAATCGCTTTCCTTGGCTACTCTGGGGAATGAGCCTAAAACCCCTAGAGGAGACCAAACAACGTTCATCGCCTCACCCACTCTCCGAGATACCCTGGAAGAAGGGCCGTCCCGGCCTAAGCCGACGACAGAAGAAGTACAAGAGTTTGTTCATGCAAATTTCCACGAATTGGAACGTTTGTTTCAGAGCGATAAACAGAATCATAAGGGGAAAGAGCCAGCGGACCCGGAGGAGAAGAGGAGAACCTCCTTTCCAGATCCCAGGCAACTATTTTCGGATGAAGAAGAATCCCCCTCCAATGGGCATTACACCGTTAGTAGCAGTTCATCCAGACATGATGCGGAGGGGTCCACTCCCCGGAGAACTAGATCCCAGTGCCCAGAGTTACCAAGACGTCGTCTTCCGGTAGCCAACAAAAAGGGCGATATCACCCGTATATTCACTACGGGTCAAAGAAGTACGGGGGAAAATCGCCTTTCTCTTCGGAGATAGAAGTTCATAGTGGGGCAGAAGTTTAAATGCCCTCAAAACATAGGCATGTATGATGGGAGCTCAGATCCGGACGATCATCTGAATGTATACAACTCAGTCATGAACTTGTTCACTTATCCTATGCCGGTATGGTGTAAGCTCTATCCGGTCATGCTACGGGACCAGGCCCGGCTGTGGTTCGATAATCTTGCTTCCGGAAGTATTCACTCTTGGACACAGCTCGAAGAAGCCTTCCGTCTACATTTCCTACCACAAAAGAAGTTCCAGAAGGCAAGAGAAGAGTTGTTTACCATTAAACAGAGGGATCAAGAGACACCACGTGCTTATGTAGAGCGTTTCGCCAAAGAGCGCACAAATAGGATCTCGGTCTGAATAAATCCTTATTGCTGCTTTCATAAATGGGCTACGGCACGGAAGGTTTTACACGGAATTCATGGAGAATCTTCCAAATACAAAAGGGCAAACAAATATGCTCGAGGGGAGGAAGCCAACTGGAAGTGTAGGGACGAGTCTCAGAGTGCCCGAAGACCTGAAGCTAAAAGCCGTGGCCCATCCGTCTATCAGATAGTCACTCCAAAAATACCTAGGAGGCATCAAGAGTTTCCGAAACCTTACCCCTCTGAACAAAACACCCAAGGTGATCCTGCAGATTGTTTCCGCGAAAGGCATTCTGAAGCCACCTCCGAAGATGAACAAGTCTGCCTTTCAGAGGAATCGAAGTTTATACTGCAACTTCCATGGAGATCACGAGCATGATACGAATGATTGCAAGGATCGAAAAGGGAGATACAATGATGTATCCAGAATGGCCAGCTCGCTAAGTTTGCATTGGAGGCGCAGAAAGGTGACATGAATTCCCAGAAGAAGGACCGCGCAACTGATGCTTCAAGAAAGGTCAGAAGGGGGCAGTACAACTGGAACATAAATTGTGATGGAGAGAAGCCCAATCGAGAAGTCAACCAGGTGGTAACGAGAGACATCTTGAGTATCATCGGGGGATTAGCTGTGGGCGATCCGGAATCACAGAGAAAACTCGATGTCGGAAGGTTCCGGATGGAGATGCCGACAACCGAAGACTTAAACCTTCTGAAACAATCACTTTCTTCTATGAGGACCCTGTTCCGGAACGTCATGTAGGAGCGGACGCTGTAGTTATCCGCGGAAAGTTTGCAAATTAGTCCATCCACAGAATCTATGTCGATGGAGGAAGTTCCGTGGAGATTATGTATTGGCATTGCTTTGTTCAGTATGGAGAAGGCACGCGAAGGACGATGCGGATGGTGAATACCCCTCTGTTGATTTTGCCAATCGTACCATATGGCCGGAAGGGATAGTCATACTTCCTGTGACGTTGGGAGATTATCCCACTAAAAAGCTAGTGTATGTTGACTTTTTCGTCGTCAAAGTAGGATCCATGTACAATGTGATCCTAGGACGACCTGCGCTGGAGAAATTTAAAGCCATTGTGTCAATACTACATTTGATGATGAAGTTCCCTACCGAAGCAGGGGTGGTTACGGTGGTAGGGGACCAGTTCGCAGCATGCAAATGTCATAGAATCACGTTGCGTAAGAAAGAAAGATAAGAGGAAGATGCCATGGACATTAATGGTCCCTATCAGGATTATGTAGGGATGACCAGAAAGTTGGGAGACGAACCCCTGCTTGGGGGAGAAGTAGAGGCTGTGCTGGTCGACCTAAGAACCCCGAAAGGAAGGTCTGTGTAGGCAAAGATATTCCGGAGGCTATCAAACTTCAGGTAGAGGAGTTATTAAGGAGCTATAAAGATGTGTTCGCTTGGAGCCCAGCAGACATGACAGGAATACCTAGGGAGACCGTGGTACGCACGCTGAACATTCTGGAAGGAGTGAAGCCCATCTGGAAGAAGAGAAGACCCTTTTTGGCCGATAGAAGCTAGGTCATCAATGATGAGGTGCAAAAGCTAGTAAAGGCAGGGATAATGAAAGAAGTTCAATATCCAGAATGGCTGGCCAATCCGGTACTAGTGCTGAAGCCAGATGGGTCATGGCGCATGTGCGTGGTTTATACTGATCTCAACAAGGTATGTCCTAAGGACTGTTACCCCTTACCTATCATTGATCAAAGAGTAGATACCCTGGTAGGCTACCGCGCATTCTGTTTCTTGGATGCATGTAAGGGTTACTAGCAAATATGCATGGCGGAAGAAGACGTTGAAAAGACGGCTTTCATTACAGAGAAGGGAGTATACACTACACTAAAATGCCGTTGGGACTCCGGAATGCCGGAGCCACCTATCGGAGGTTAGTGGATAAGGTCTTCGAAAAGCAGCTAGGATGTAATATAGAAGTATATGTGGATAACATGGTGATCAAAAGCAAGAGTATGTCAGAGACAGTTATGGATATTTTGGGAAACGCTGGATACCTTCCGGAGAAACAATATAAAGCTGAATCCGGAGAATTACAGCTTCGAAGTTGGATCTGGCAAGTTTTTAGGGCACGTCGTTAACGCGGAAGGAATACAAGCCAACCCGAAGAAGGTGCAAGCTGTTCTGGATATGGTTTCCCCGCGAACCATCAAAGAAATCCAGAGCTTCAATGGAAACTAACGGCTCTAAGCTGGTTCTTGCCCATGTTTGCAGAGAGGTCGCTACCTTTCTTTGAGATCCTGAAAAGTGAAATCCGGAAAGGAAAGAAAGGTATCCTAAAGGAAGGAGAATGGGGGGAGAAGGCTGAGTCAGCTTTTCAGAAGTTGAAAGAGTACTCAAAGAAAATGCCATCTCTTGCAACCCCAGTAAAAGGAGAAAACCTCTGGGTATACCTAGCAGCTGCCGCAGAAGCAGTCAGTGCCGTGTTGTTCCGAAAGGAAGGAGGCATGGAACAACCGATATACTATGTCAACAAGGCTTTAACTGCAGCAGAAACTAGGTATCCGGATATAGAGAAGCTGGTCTTGGCCCTAGTACAGACGATCAGGAGACTCAAGTACTACTTCCAAGCACATTCTGTATGCGTGCTAACTAAGCATCCACTCAAGCAAATATTAGACAAGCTAGAATCTTCCGGAAGACTTGCAAAATGGGCCGTAGAGCTGGAAGGGTATGATATTACCTTTTAGCCCCGAAGAGCCGCCAAAGGGCAAGTACTAGCGGATTTTATAGTAGAAATAAAATGAAAATTGAAGAGGAAGAGCCTAAGGAGACACCTAGCCAAAGCCAAGGGCAGGACATATGGACCCTCTTTGTGGATGGTGCTTCCAGAACAGAGGGAGCAGGATCTGGTCTAATCATCACAGATCCGGAAGGCACTTAAACCACGTATGTTTTAAGATTCAAGTTGCCAGCATCAAATAACGAGGTAGAATATGAGGTGCTAATAGCCGGAATGGAGCTAGCATACCAATTGGGAGATCGAAAGTTGATAGCCAAAGGCGACTCATTGTTGGTGGCCAACCAAGTCAATGGAGTCTATGAAGTCAAAGGACCATCCATGATGGAATATTTAGCTAAGGTTATGCAACTAATAGCCATGTTTGATCTCTTCGAGATGGTTTAAGTACCTCGCTCTCAAAACAAGCATGCGGATGTCCTCAGCAAGCTGGCTTCCTCTGCCTCTGCACACTTAACCAAAAAGTTCTTGTGGAAGAGTTGGCTGTCCGGAGCACAAGCAACCTCGGGGTAGCAGCAATCATTAGCGCCCCTCTGGAAGATAGCTGGACAACGCCGTTGCGGAAGTATATTGAAGAAGAAACCCTACCAATGAACAGGACCGAGGCCCGGAGGGTCATTCTAAGACCTGAGCGATGCCTGGTGATTGACGGAGTCTTATCTGGAAGTCATTTACCAGCCACTGCTAAGGTTTTTGGAGCCCGGAGAGGTAGGTTATGTACTTGAGGAGTTACACATGGGTGCTTGCGGAAGTCATGCCGGAGCACGAGCAATGGTCAAGACGGCCACAAAAAACAGTTACTACTGGCCATCCATGGAAAAAAACACGGCCAACATGGTAAGAAGGCTCAGAGATTGCCAAAGACATGGCCCCATCCCCCGGAAACCGCAAAAGGATCTGATTGGAATAACCAGTCCATGGCCCTTTTACCAATGGGGCATTGACATCGTCGGGCCTTTTCCTCATGCTCCAGGGAGATACAGATTCTTATTGGTGGCAATCGATTACTTCACCAAGTGGGTGGAATCTGCTCCGCTATCCTCAATCTCCAGAAAGAATGTGCTAAAGTTTGTCTAGAAGATCATTATATGCCGGTACGGAATACCTGGAAAGATCATATCTGACAATGGGAAGTAATTTGCAAACAACCCCTTCCGTGTGGTAAGAACTGCAAATCCGGCAAAGCTTCACTTCCATATATCACGCCCAAGCCAATGGGCAGACGGAGGTCACCAACTGGACTTTACTGCAAGGGTTGAAAACAAGATTAGAAGGAATTCAAGGAAATTGGGTGGAAGAAATACAGCATTTCTTATGGTCCTTGGTGCTTGCCGAATTCACCAAAAAACAGATAAATATTACTAGCTTGGATTATGAGTTTTGTAGATAATGGAAGCTAGGTCGATCCCACGAGGACAGCTAATTACCAAATTTGTTGTAAAGAAAAACTGTCAGTCAACAAGGTATCACTCAGGAGAATGAAAACAGTCACTCAGGGGAATGGGGGCCAGGGGTGTTCTTCTCCTCTTCCTGCTGTTGTAGTTGTTTTATTAGCATAGTAATGGTTGAGTTCTTGTTCATTCAGCTCACTTATAACTCTAAGTCAGTTCCCATTTTTCCTAGAGTAATCTTTGTAACCTTAACAACCTATTTTCCAATGGTTGATTCCGGCTACAAAGTCATTAAGTTCCTAGGCCTTCAAGAATGCTTATGTTAACTAAGTATATTCCTATCTTAGTTAAAACCATAGACTGTTACCTCTATGTCATAAGTTAAAGTTGAAACAATCCAAACCAAGTTTATCCTTCCAGATCTCCCTTAGTTCTAGCATGCATCCAATTTAGTGATCAAGTAAATGAATGTAGAAAAACTTTCAACCATAAAACAATGAACAAAACCAGTGCTTTGACAACTACAACATCAGTTGAGGAGAATAACCCCTGGAAACTGTTTAGCTACTCATACGAATAAATGCTACATCTACTACATCGAAGAACATCATAGAAGTATGCATAGTAAACAAAATTCAAGCTAACAGTCAAGAGATGAGGAGAAAGCTTGTGCAGTTTCTGAGTCACTCCTGGAGGTGAAGGGGTTCACTCGTGGAACTGAAGAAGAAACTGGGTTGCTATTCTTCAACTTGGCTTCCTCTCTGAGTTGTTGCTGCTTCTTCTTCTTTCTTGTCTTCTACCTGGAGTTTTTCTGAGTGTTTTTGCAACTAAGAAGCTAACCAGAGACTGATGGATAGATCCCCCTGTGAGAGTGTCGTTCCCCCTTCTTTATAGTACTTTGCAACCGGTGTCTTCATCATGAGAACCTCCCCATGCTTGGAGTTGTTTAATCCTTCCAATGTCTTGAGCCTGCAATCCAACTTGGCCGTTCCTTTTCTCTCTTCCAGCAGCAGCCGTTTTGCTCTCATTGATCAGCAGTGGTGGCTAGGATTGCGGCTGGGGGACAAGCATGCCATTAGGAGGAGGCAAGGCCATTAATGACAAGATGCTTCTTGTCTAAGACCCTCCTTCTTCGTCCAGCTCAGCACCCTTGCCTCACCAGTCCATAATTTGCTCCTTTGGCTTCCAATTTTCAGCAATTATTCAGTCCGGTCCTTTCCTAACAATAATATAAAAAATGAGCTAAGTAAATTGCACCAATGTTAGGAAATACCCCCAATTATTCATCAAATACAAAGTTAAGTGTGGTGCTTTTATGTAACAATTTAACCATTATCAACTCCCCCAAACTGGAAGAATTGCTTGTCCTCAAGCAAAGAAAAAAAAAAAAAAAACACTAAACTTTTGTTGGTACTTTCAGAATTGCACATAACAACTAGGGAAGACAAAATGACTGAAGATTGACTTATTCCCCTGAGTGAGGATTCCCACTCAGGCAAATGACACTAAACAAGCAACAACCTTAAACATAACCAGATAGGTGCTGTCAACTTTTCCGTCTCAGATTCAAGGGAAGAAAACATACATTTGAGGATACCAAATCTTTCTGCAATCTAGAGTCAAACAACCAACTTTCACAGGGAATTAGAATGCATATGCCACAAGTGTTTGTTCATGCCAAACCTACCAATCCATTCTAAGTTAACCGGTTAAACTTTTGGTGGTCATTCCTGTGACCTGGTCTTGCCCAAGTTACTTGACTCGATTTACCTACTGAGACTTCAATTCTGGAGTTCCTGCACAGCCTTTATGCTTTATTTATTTAGGAAATCTTTTTCTCTTTTTTTTTTTTTTTTAAATGAATGGGATGTAAATGGACCAACCTACAGGGGTGTTATTCAACCTTATCTCTCCACTGCCTTATACCTCAACCCTTATTACTCCAACAGTTTGGAACTTTTTATGGTGGTTCCTCGCTGTTACCCCTAAGGTTTCGGTTGATCCATTCCCCAAGGGTTTTTTTTTTTTTTTTTAATAGCAAGCAGGCTGTGAATGGGTACTACAAAGGAAGTCTCAGATTTACGGCATTTCTCATCTAATTGTAGCTCATAACTAGACACAGCTCACAACAGTGGATTAGTCATGCCGAATTTTAAGATTTATGTTCTAGGCATTCACTTCCACGAGTGGCATTGTTCATGTGTGTGAATGAGTCTCAGCCATTTTCTCCTTTCATGCATCAGACTTGGTATCAAAAAGTGATCAAAAAGTGGTTTAGCAAAATTGTTTTTCAAAACCATTATCATCCTAGACTGTTGACAGCTCCTTAGAAGATTTTTATTACAGAGTCAATCCAGACATGAACCTAATGGACCTAAATGACATTGTCCTGACATTGACCGACCTAACCAAAAACTACTACAATTAACTACTACTACATTACTCCCCCCAAACTTATCCTAAGCATTGCCCCCAATGCTTAACAACACTAACCCGGCAACACAATAAACAGAAGACAAAAATTACAGAAAACAACACATGAAACATAAAACAGGCAACAAATAAATTACTGATTAAGGGAGGCAGAACAGCACTTCCCTGAGTGTTCATTGAGGCATTCTGTGAAGTGGGTGGACTGGCGGATCATGCGGCATTGGGCAGTTTTCAGGGCATCCAATGCACTTGTGCATTTCCTGCAGGAATTTCTCCGTCCTCATCTGGCATTGGTGGACGTAATCCAGGATGAACCTGCTCTGCTTGTTGAAATCCCTCTGCTTCAATTGTCCAGTTAAAGTGGGAGTGGATGTCGTTTGTCCTGCCCATGCGGCACCTGGGGGTTTCTGGTCTAGCTTATGCATCCTCAATGGTTGTTGCAAGTTACTTTCTGCGTCGGTATGCAGGAAGGTCACCCCTGCCCTTTTGCATAGCATGGTGACCATAACTGGGAAATACCAGCTCTTCACCTTTGGATCAGTGATGCATCGGGTGAGTTGCTCCCGGATGACTGAGACTGCATCAAATGGTGTGTCTGTGGCAATGGCATACAGCAGCAGGGCCATCTTGTAGGTGACCTTAGCAGTGTAGGATGTTGGCATCAGGTTGCAGCAGATGAAATGGTGCCAGAGATTGAAGTCAGGCGTTTGCAACACGTTGGCTGGAAATCCCAAAGGGTTTTCTTGCTCATCCATCTCCCAGCTTGTGCCCTCCTTTGCCAATCGGGACAGAATGGCCTGTTCCAGCCGGTTGATTTGGATGCGGGGCAGCCGGGGTTTCTCTGTCAGTGCTTATTCTTGGTAATTTCGGATGGCCCCGATGGCCTCTCGTGCTGCAATTGACGCCGATGCCTCGACGAACACTCCATCTCCGGGAGCAGGTGGAAGTTGCCGTGAAATTCTTGCACAATCTGGATCCGTGGCTTGATCGGTGGTTTGGAGAAGGTCTCCCAGCCGTGGCGCTTGATGTAGGCAAAAGCTGCACCATCTTCACCGATTCCCCTTTCTGGAATGAATTTTCGCCTTATGTGTTTTAAAAAGAAATCCCAACCCTTCTTCCTTGGAAACAACCTGGGCTCCCATTCATCTGTGATGGCATTAAGGGCTTGTTCTTGCAGCGCCCTTGGTGGTTGTGGAGGTGGTGGTGGGGTGGGTTCTCTGGCAGGGGATGCTGGTGGAGAGGGCGTTCTTTGCTGTTCAGGAGATGGCGAGGATGAGGAGGATGATATCCTTCTCCTTGTGTTGGAGGCGTTTTTGCGGGCAGCAGCCTTTCTCCTTACCGGCGGCATCTGTGACAAACCCTAAGAGTCGTGTTTGCAAAATTGAAAGAGGGGTTTTGCGATTGAGTCTGAAAATTGCCTTGGTTGCCTAGAAACTTAGAGAAATTGTTAGTATGTTCACACAGGGAAGTGGTGGTTGCAGGAGTAATTCTCGGATTAAGAAGAAAATGAAGAAGACGAAGCAATGAAGGAGTTATGAGTTAATGCACCGCAGTTAAAGTTTTTGGAAATCGTGGCTGACTGACGTGACTCAAAGAGGCAGACGTGGTTAAAATTGAAATTTGAAATTTTCCGAAAAATTTCCCCCCCAAACTTAAACCATAATTGCAACCCAAAAGGTGACTTTTTACAGAAAGTGTCGTACAGTTGTTCTCACTCAGGCGAGTGGACTTTTCCACTTGCGTGAGTGACGTCAGGGTTAGAAAATTTTCAGGATTCCTTCCCGTAGGTTCACTCAGCTGAGTGACCTTCTTCACTCCTAGGAGTGAGTTTACCTGAGGCCCTTTCTGTTACACCTTTTGAAATCTGTTGGGGTGGCAAATTTCTTGTCTTAATCCTGCAAAAATTAGAGTAGCACATTGTCAGCCGTACAAAAGCAAAACGTATGGGTTGCCTCCTATAAAGCGCATTGGTTTTAAGTCTCATGCCAGACTTCAAAAGAAATTGCAGTAAAGTTCTTTCAGGACCAGAACTCGATAGTTCTGTCCTTTACTCCCTTCTGTCCATCCAAGGTATGGCTTAAGCCTCTGACCATTAACCAAAAAGGTGTTGCCATTTTGTGGATTCATGATCTCCACAGCTCCATGAGTTAGGACCTTGTTGATTTTGTAGGGCCCGGTCTATCTTGACTTCAATTTCCCTGGAAAGAATTTCAGCCTGGAATTGTACAACAAGACCTCTTGTCCTTCTTGGAAGTTCTTCTTGACAATGTGTTGATCATGGTAAGCCTTAGTTTTCTCTTTGTAGACTCTGGACGATTCGTATGCCTCTAGTCTGAATTCCTCCAGTTCATTCAACTGAATCAATCTTAATTCCTTGCTTTTGCCCGGATCAAGATTCAGTTCCTTGATAGCCCAGTAAGCCTTATGTTCCAACTCTACTGGCAAGTGGCATGCTTTCCCATAGACCAGTTTGAATGGAGACATACCAATGGGGGTCTTGTATGCTGTCCTATATGCCCATAAAACTTCATCCAACCTTGAGGACCAATTCTTCCTGGTAGAATTAACAACCTTTTCCAGGATTCTTTTCACTTCCCTGTTTGACACTTCTGCTAGCCCGTTTGATTGTGGATGATATGGTGTTGATACCTTGTGCCTGATTCCATATTTCTTTACCATGGCTGCAAATGACTTGTTACAGAAGTGTGATCCTTCATCACTGAGTATCATCCTGGGTGTACCAAACCTGGCGAAAATGTTTTTTCTTAGAAACCTGAGAACAGTTTTAGCATCATTGTTCTTTGCAGCTACAGCTTCTATCCATCTTGAAACGTAGTCCACTGCCAGTAGGATGTAGGAATTCCCAAAGGATGACATGAAGGGACCCATGAAGTCTATCCCCCACACATCAAACAGTTCCACTTCAAGCATGTTCTGCTGTGGCATCTCATTTTTCCAGAAATATTTCTGTCCTTTGGCATCGGTCACACTTTTGACAAACTCTCTTGCATCTCTCGAATGTGGTTGGCCAAGATACCCAGCTTGTAGAACCTTGATTGCCGTCCTTTGACCGTTGAAATGTCCACCATAGGGTGAACTGTGGCATTTGTGTAACACTTCGTGAATTCGGATTCGGAATGCACCTTCGATCAATTGGTCCGCACATCTTTTGAACAAGTAGGGTTCATCCCAGGTAGAGTTGAGCATCATGCAAGAATCTCTTGCGTTGTGTGGGGTGAGATCTGGGGAATAACACCAGAACAACAAAGTTAGCAAAATGCAAACCAAGGCTGTTACTGTCACTCTCATGAGTGTGCCTGTCACTTGCCGAGTGACTCATCGGGAATTTTTCGAGATTGGAGTTGTGTCTTCGGAATTTCTTCAAGCCTTGACGGATGGTCTCGCTACTTGATTCTCAGCACCCTTTCTGTCTCTTATCTCCAAATCGAATTCCTGCAACAACAACACCCACCTAATCAACCTTGGTTTAGACTCTTTTTCGTTGATCAAGTACTTGATGGCTGCATGGTCGGTATAGACTATGACTCTCATCCCTAGAAAATAAGCTCTGAATTTATCAAATGCAAATACAATTGCCAGCATTTCCTTCTCTGTAGTGGTGTAGTTGACTTGTGCGGAGTTAAGGGTTTTACTAGCATAGTAAGCCACATGTAACACCTTGTTCCTTCTTTGTCCAAGTAAAACACCAACTGCAAAATCACTTGCATCACACATTAGTTCAAAAGGTTGTGACCACTCGGGTGTGATGATCACAGGTGCGGTGATGAGTTTGTTTTTCAATTCAGTGAATGCATTTAAACAGGATTCATCAAAAATAAAAACAGTGTCTTTTTCAAGCAAATTGCACAAAGGTTTAGAAATTTTCGAAAAATCGTTAATGAACCTCCTGTAAAAACCAGCATGGCCCAGGAAACTTCTCACTCCCCTGACTGTGGTTGGTGGGCTGAGTTTCTCAATGACTTCAATCTTTGCCTTATTCACTTCAATTCCCTTTTGTGAGATCTTATGCCCCAAGACAATTCCTTCAGTTACCATAAAATGGCATTTTTCCCAGTTGAGAACCAGGTTGGCCTCTATACATCTTTTCAGTATCAGCCCAAGGTTGTCCAAACATGCATCAAATGATTTACCAAAGACCGAGAAGTCGTCCATAAAGACCTCAATTATGTCTTCCACCATATCAGAGAAAATGGCCATCATACATCTTTGAAAAGTTGCGGTGCATTGCACACCCAAATGGCATTCTCTTGAAGGCAAATGTGCCATAAGGGCAGGTGAAAGTCGTCTTCTCTTGATCATCGTGGTCTATGGCAATCTGGTTGTAACTCGAGAAACCATCAAGGAAACAATAATACATGAATCCACTAATCTATCCAACATTTGATCAATAAAAGGAAGGGAAAGTGGTCCTTTCGGTAGCTTTATTAAGCTTTCTATAGTCCATGCACACTCTCCATGAATTGTTCAGCCTTGTTGGGATTAGCTCTGGAGGTCATTCTTTATCACCGTGATTCCTCCCTTCTTGGGCACGCACCGCACCGGACTCACCCACTTGCCGCCGATATTGGGAAGATAATCCCCGCATCCAGTAGCTTGATAATCTCCTTTTTCACCACTTCCTTCATGACTGGGTTGAGTCTTCTTTGTCCTTCAATGGTTGGCTTGGCGTCATCTTCAAGCAGGATTTTGTGCATGCATATGGAGGGGCCGATGCCCTTAATGTCAACAATTGACCACCCAATGGCTTCTTTGTGCAATCTCAGCACTCTCAGCAATTTGTCCTCTTCAGTACCTGTAAGCATAGAAGAAATGATTACAGGTAAGGTGTTACTGGCTCCAATGTAGGCGTACTTCAAATGTGAGGGCAGAGGATTAAGTTCGAGATGAGGTGGTTCTTCAATTGAAGGTTTGAGGCATCTCCCTTCCTTGGTCAGGTTTATCAGTTCAAAGGGTTCTTTGTGTAGGATGCCACTTGGGGAGTGGTTCGGGTAGCTCGAGCAAGTGGCCCTGTACTCATCCCCTCCTTCCTGTTCCTCATTATAGTCCTGGGCACCAAAGTTCCTTGAGGAGATCGTCTTGCAGTAATTCTTCCGTCTTGCTTCCTCTGCTTCTACATTTCTTACCATGTAGCGATCGTGGACTTCAATGAGATATCTCATATTTTGAAGATGTTGAAGGTGACCTTCTCCCCATCAAAGTGCAGTGTGATTTCTCCCTTTTTCACCTTAATGATTGCATCGCTTGTTGCCAGAAAAGGTCTCTCCAAGATGATGGGCACATCCCTGTCTTCTTCCATGTCCAAAACCACAAAATCGGCTGGGTAAACAAAGTTACCAACTTTCACCGAACATCATGTAAGATTCCCTTGGGTAAGTCGAGATCCGTCGCCAACCGCAAGGTCATGTTGGTAGGTACCAGAAATTTGTCCAGATCAAGGGATTTAAATACAGACAATGGCATGAGGTTTATGCTTGCACCAAGATCTAGTAATGCTTTTGAAAATTCTCTGATTCCTACGGTGCAAGGAAGAGTGAAACTACCCGGATCTTTTAGCTTAGGTGGTAATTTTCTCAGGATAGCTGCACTACATTCTTCATTTAGAGTGACAAAAGCAGAGTTATGCAATTGTGGCTTATTTGCCACTAAATCCTTCAAGTACTTAAAGTATTTAGACATTTGTTTAAGTGCATCAACAAGCGGTACATTAATATGTATACTTTCTAAATTCTGAATAAACCTATTGAGTCCTTCATCCATTTTTGCTTTCTTCTGTCTTACTGGATATGGTGGCGTCAGAGCTGGCTGTTGTGGTTCCTTAATTGGTGCTGGAAATTGAATTCCCTCCATTCCAGGTTTTTCAGCAGGTTGCTCCTGTTCAACCATATCATCATTATCAGATATTTGCTCAGAAGAAGTTTCATTCTTACCTGTAGGGTCACTCGCAGGAGTGACTTCTTCACTTGGCTGATTGAGTTGCTTTCCACTTTGGAGAGTGACAACCTTCGCTTGCTCTTGGTCATTCCCCTTGGGGTTCACAATTGTGTCACTGGGCAGGCTCCCCGATGGTCTTTCAGCATTTTGTTTTGCAATCTGGGCCAACTGATTTTCCAAACTTTTACAAGACACCGCCAAACTCTTGATTGCATTTTGTACAGAAATCCATTCATCTTCCCTTGGTATGTACTGTTGGTTTGAACGTTGCTGATTCTGATAGTTGGGAAGCTGACCATCTTGTCTATGGAATCCTGGGGGTTGAGCAGGCCTTTGATAATTTCCTTGTTGTGGAACATTGTTCCAGTTGGTCTGTTGCTGATTTCTCCAATTGTTGAAGTTGTTGAATCCCCCTGCATTGCCCTGTCTGACAAACTGGACAGCTTCCATTTTGGAAGGACAGTCATCCAAACTGTGGGATCCATCACATAATACACATACTTCTGCCTTGGATTTGGACAGCTCACTCCTGAGCTTAGTCATTTCATTCATCATAACAGCCATTTGAGCTTGCAGATGTGTACTAAGATCTAGTTCCATCATCCCTGGCTGTTTTGAAATTGCCCTTGGATTAGATTGCCATCTTGAATGGTTGGTGGTCATATTGTCGAGCAATTGCCTTGCTGCATCAACTGGCTTCATCATAAATACACCACCAACTGCAGCATCAAGGGAATCTCTTGTAGTTGGTAGCAGACCATTGTAGAAGATGCTCAGTTGAAGATGCTCTTCTAAACCATGCTGAGGGCATTTTCTGACCATTTCTTTCAATCTTTCCCATGCTTCATAAAGTGTTTCTGTTCCATGCTGCTTGAAGTTCATTATTGCTGTTCTGAGTTGTGCAGCTTTTGCAGGTGGGAAAAATTTTGTTAGGAAACACTGCCTCAACTCTTCCCAAGTGGAAATGGAGTTGTTGGGTAATATGTTGAACCATGCTTGGGCTTGATCCTGCAATGTAAAAGGGAATAGTCTCAGTCTAATGTCATCATTAGATAAGCCTTGAATTTTAAAAGTACTGCATAAACACAGAAAACTTCGGATGTGATCATTAGGATCTTCATGAGGTAATCCATGAAATGGGCAGGCTGATTGAGTCCATTGGATCATCTGTGGCTTGAGCTCAAAATTGGTTGCTTCTACATCAGGGAACACTAGGGGAGATTGGACTTCTTCTTGCTGTGGGATGAAGAAATCTCTAAGCAGTCTTTCTGGTCGGTTTTGTTGATCCCCACCAGGGTTCCTATTGTTCTCCGGATTGCCACCTTGGTTAGCCATTTGAGATGAACCTTCTTGGATGTCCTGTTGCGCCCGGTTCTGCCTTCTTCTTACCGCTCTGGTTCTACGGATGGTAGCTTCAATTTCTGGGTCAAAAACAGGTTCACTTCGTCGGTGCCTTCTAGTCATACACCAAAGAAAAGAAACTGGAAGCTTAGTGAGATAACCAGAGAAGAATTTTATATATATATATATACACAAATAAAAACAACAAATTTTTTGAGGTTTTACGCCGTCCCCGGCAACGGCGCCACTTTCTGGTGCTTGCCGAATTCACCAAAAAAAAGATAAATATTACTAGCTTGGATTATGAGTTTTGTAGATAATGGAAGCTAGGTCGATCCCATGAGGACAGCTAATTACCAAATTTGTTGTAAGGAAAAACTGTCAGTCAACAAGGTGTCACTCAGGAGAATGAAAACAGTCACTCAGGGGAATGGGGGCCAGGGGTGTTCTTCTCCTCTTCCTGCTGTTGTAGTTGTTTTATTAGCACAGTAATGGTTGAGTTCTTGTTCATTCAGCTCACTTATAACTCTAAGTCAGTTCCCATTTTTCCTAGAGTAATCTTTGCAACCTTAACAACCTATTTTCCAATGGTTGATTCCGGCTACAAAGTCATTAAGTTCCTAGGCCTTCAAGAATGCTTATGTTAACTAAGTATATTCTTATCTTAGTTAAAACCATAGACTGTTACCTCTATGTCATAAGTTAAAGTTGAAACAATCCAAACCAAGTTTATCCTTCCAGATCTCCCTTAGTTCTAGCATGCATCCAATTTAGTGATCAAGTAAATGAATGTAGAAAAACTTTCAACCATAAAACAATGAACAAAACCAGTGCTTTGACAACTACAACATCAGTTGAGGAGAATAACCCCTGGAAACTGTTTAGCTACTCATACGAATAAATGCTACATCTACTACATCGAAGGACATCATAGAAGTATGCATAGTAAACAAAATTCAAGCTAACAGTCAAGAGATGAGGAGAAAGCTTGTGCAGTTTCTGAGTCACTCCTGGAGGTGAAGGGGTTCACTCGTGGAACTGAAGAAGAAACTGGGTTGCTATTCTTCAACTTGGCTTCCTCTCTGAGTTGTTGCTGCTTCTTCTTCTTTCTTGTCTTCTACCTGGAGTTTTTCTGAGTGTTTTTGCAACTAAGAAGCTAACCAGAGACTGATGGATAGATCCCCCTGTGAGAGTGCCGTTCCCCCTTCTTTATAGTACTTTGCAACCGGTGTCTTCATCATGAGAACCTCCCCATGCTTGGAGTTGTTTAATCCTTCCAATGTCTTGAGCCTGCAATCCAACTTGGCCGTTCCTTTTCTCTCTTCCAGCAGCAGCCGTTTTGCTCTCATTGATCAGCAGTGGTGGCTAGGATTGCGGCTGGGGGACAAGCATGCCCTTAGGAGGAGGCAAGGCCATTAATGACAAGATGCTTCTTGTCTAAGACCCTCCTTCTTCGTCCAGCTCAGCACCCTTGCCTCAGCAGTCCATAATTTGCTTCTTTGGCTTCCAATTTTTAGTAATTATTCAGTCCGGTCCTTTCCTAACAATAATATAAAAAATGAGCTAAGTAAATTGCACCAATGTTAGGAAATACCCCCAATTGTTCATCAAATACAAAGTTAAGTGTGATGCTTTTATGTAACAATTTAACCATTATCAGTCCTACCGAACTACCCCTAGGAATCATACCAATGAAACACCTTTCAGTCTGGTTTATGGGTGTGAAACTATGGTTCCGGTAGAGATAGGAATGCCTTCTATCCGGATGTTAAGTTTTGCAGAAGAACAAAATGAGGAAAACCTCCGGATAAATATAGATCTGGTAGAGGAAAGAAGAGAGGCTGCTACCTTCTGGGGAACTCGTTACAAATCAAAGACGGCGAAATATTACAATGCCCTGGTGCAGCACAAGGGACTCAAAGTGGGAGACTTGGTGCTTCAGAGGAACGACTTCAGTGGAGTGGCTGGTAACGAGAAGATGGATGCAAAATGGAAATGGCCATACAAGATAGCACAAGTCCACTGGTCCGGAAGTTACACACTGGTCCAGATGAATGGAAAAGCAGTACCCCACACATGGCATCAATCCAACCTCAGAGGAAAGGCTACTTACTTGTTTAGAGTATATTATTTAATCTTTGTTGAACTTTCTTTTCATTGCTTTGGTACGCAAAAGCGCTCGCCAAGAGCATTGCGCGTTTGATTTTGACGCCAAAGAGTATCATTGTAATGGGTACCGAACATTAGTCCTGTTGCGAATGATATAAAAGCTAAGTAAATGCGGTCGAAGTCTGCCATTATTTAACAAGCTTCAAAGGATCATTACTATATATGTCTTACCCAAACTTCTAGATTTATATGAAAAGTCAATCGGTAAAGAGTGATGACCTTTAAATAACCTTAGATAGTTACCAAACCTAAAGTGTACAGTCAAACGACAAAGCACAACGTTATGGCAAGCCTCACAAAGGCAGATCGAAAAAGCTAGCTAAAGACAGACAATATGCGCAAAAGAAAAAGAAGTAAGCAAAGTACTGAAGCACAAATATTCTACTGCCACGACGACAACACATCAACAAAGACTACGGGACTCGCCCTAAGGGACGATAGAAACTGAAATCATAAAAAAAAAAAAAAAGAAAACAGCAAGGAATACCAAAAGGTATGCAATCTTGTCCATAAAAATTTAATACATGCCAATAAATTATATACGAAAAGTAGAGCCATGTTCAAACTTGTCTCTGGTTCACCTCCCCTTCTCCATCTCTAGTACCAGAAGCTTCATGTGCTGCTACAGTGCGGGAAGTACTGGCCTCCGGATTAGGCATTAGACGCTTAGCATGAATACCCATAAGTATGGGAGTAGGATTCTGAGCATTGTTAGCCAAAACTTTGTGGTAACCCAGAGCTAGATGATGAAGAGCCCCCTTAGCTTCCTGGGCCTTGGCAACTACATTAGGATTGTAACCAGGCATCTCCTCTAGCTTCACACCCTCAAAAGTGGAATGGTAGTGCAACGCCATTTTGTGCTCACCAATGGCTTTCTGATAATACGACAACCTTTTGAACTGCCTCTGAAACACAGAATTGGATAAACCCTCACTAAAAAAGTAAAGAATACCCTCAGTAATCAACAAGTGCCGGTCCTGCAGCGCCTCAAGTTCTTTGATGAGATTCTTATTCTCCTCTTGGGTTTGAGCAGAAGTATCACCCAACTCCACCAACCTCTTCTCCAGGCTAGTCTTTCAGTCTGGACAAAATCAAGATCATCCTTAGCCACCTTTAACTCCTCACGTACATCTTCCAATTCCTTCCGGAGGGCAGAACAGGACTCCTCTAAGTCCGTAAACTTTGCTTCCACAACCCTTAACTTCTCTTCGTAAGCAAGAGAGGTAACCGATGCTCTTCCAACTTGCGGATCAAAGTCATGCACAAGTTGGCAGTCTAAAACAATAAACATGCATATATAAATAATAAATATAATATATAAAAATGAAAGCAGAACAAATACACATGCAACAAAACTAATTATTACTTAAACAACCAACAAATAGTTGAATATGTTATGTAATTAATTAAAACACCTTACCTCCAGAGAAGCAAAAGTAGCCCTCTGAGCCACATCCTCATCCAGAATGGTAAGAAGATAATCCTTATGGGCTGGGGGAAAGATGTTAGCAAACCAATCCTGCCAGAGGTGAGAGCTATTAAGTATAGATCCGGAATGCACACGCTGAAAGCCTGGACGAAAAGTTTCAATCCCTCTAGCTGACACTCCTGACGAAACCATAGGGTTACCAAGCAGAGCAACAGGATCTTCATACACCTCTTTAGCGAGAACAACGACAACTGGAGGTTCTCTTTCCTTGTTCTCCTTCAAAACACTTTCAAAAGCTAATGGCTTCGGAGATAACACCTCTGTACTTGACAAAATTTCAACGTCTGGTATCGCATCAACCATCTTCAGTCTCTCAGAACTCCCTTCAGTACCACGCTCCTCCGTATCCTCACTAAGAGAGCCACTCCGCAGTACTGCCTGCGGAAGAATTTTTCCCTTCGTTTCAAATGCAGCAGAGACAAAGCATTAGGCAAAACCTTCGCCTTCCAGGGAGCAATGACTTTAGATTCCAAAGGATCCAAATTCTCATCATCCGAAAACTCCACACCCAAAACAACTACCAAGGAAAATATACAAAAAAAGTCCTTAACAATGTAAGGAACAAAAAGCCAAACAAGAATACATATAGCCACAACTATATACGAGTATCAAAAACATTATAATAATAATAATAACAATAATAATAATAATAATAATAAATAATAGAAGAAAAACACACAGTAGCGATAATTTATCCTACCCTTTCCGGATGAACCTCGAAACTCCGGCACTTCTTCCGGATCACCAAGGTTGCTCATCGCATAGTAAATAAGTGTAGCCTCTGGCAAAACTTTACTGATGGAGACCATCGAGCTAACACTAATGGAGAGGGACATGTTGCTACCAATAATAGAAAGGACGAGAAAGTTGAGGTCGTAAATGCTAATAGAGGATCTAAAGATGCTGCTTTAAAGAATAATCCTTACATCCGTGATCCACTCTCAAACATTGTTGGACCAATGACTCGTGCTAGATGCAAGAGGATGACTGAATCACTTAATAGTCTCATTACTACTACATGGGCTAAGGAAGAAATTAATCTTGAAGACTATAAGCCCAAGACTATTAATTTGTTGCAATTGTCACCAAATGGATTTGGGCCATTTGGAGGGAAGGAATCTCGGCCCTTAATCCAAGGGGAGACTGCCGGCCACCACACTCCTTATGGGAGTCGAATGGATCCCTAAAGTTTAGGGATGAGATCATTCAAAATTTATCTGTTTGAAAGATAAGACTTTATCTCTTTAAAGGATAATATTTGGATGATTCCTTTTTACCTTTGCTTTTCAAGTTTTCCTACAATAAAGAGTCAAATCATTGATGTCTACTCAACTATTGGATGAAGACTACATCAAGATGGATGGCTAAGATCACTCTACAATGAAGATGATGATAGGGTTTTTACTCAAGGGAGATTCTATCTCTTCGCATGATAGGATCTTTTTATGACATTATCACTTTGTATTTTGGGTTTTAATTATTTCCTACATAGTCTTAAATGTCTTAAGACTAGTAAAAGTGTTTAGGTTCGTTATCTTATCACTTAAGATAACTAGTAGTCTTTAGAGTTTGATTTGATTTCAAATTCATAGAGATAGAAATAGAGATAAAGAGTTGTGTTCTTCCTCTACTTCTTGGGTAGAAAATTCGGCCACCCCCTCAATAAATAGGGACCAAATTTCTCTTGCCTAGCACACATTATCATTGATATTTTTTGAGTGAAATCAAATTGGTTAGGATTTTATTCCTTTCATGGAGTTCTTGTGAGGACTTCTTTGTTTAGTTGTTGCATATGTGTTGTGACAATTATTGGACTTATCTATCTTGTTTAGTTCATTTGATAGTGGCGTCTTTAGCATTGGATCTTTTGAATTTTTGTTGTTAAGCTCATAGATCTCATATCCATTGGGTTTTCTTACACAATTTTCTAAAAGGGTCTTTGCTTGGTTAGAAGTAACTCTCTTCATTCTTGATTTGGGTTGTTCTACCATTGAACTCGTGAATTGATCCACGTGTGGTCAAATATCTTTTCTTTTATTTGTTTTTGTGTACTTTTGTGTCTTCTATATCCGAATTCTCCAAATTCCACTGCCTACATATCTCTGTCTTTTAGAATTAGCAAAGTTGATCTTTCACTAAGATTGGTTTTGTCATAGATTGCTATTATTTACCAAACACAGAGTGACCCAGATAAGCTTGGATGACCAAGTTAGAGGGTTTTGGGATTTTTGGCTGATCCTTTACCGGTTGATCCGGATCCCTCCATATCACATTCCCTCCAATAACACTATCCCTCACAAAAAGAAACTATTTCGCCAAACTTTAAAACAATCAGAAACACCCCTTATAATATCTGTTTCCTTAGAGCATCTAGAAAAAGTAAACCAATCTCCGAGAGGAGTAAGTTTAAAAAAATATGACATAACATAAAAAGAAGGCTCAACTGACAAAGACCAACTAAGAAGTTCATAACCCATAACACAGGCTACAAAGTTAGGAGTAACTTACGAAATAGAAACACCATAACGATTCAAAACCTCCAACATAAACGGCTAAAAGGAAACCGTAGGCCAACATCCAAAAATTTTGTATAAATACCAATTATCCCCTCCAGAGGGTCCACCCTACCCCAGGAACAGAGGCATGAAAACCTTGCGGTATCTTGTAATCATTCTTGATTGATTCAAGTTGAGCCTCTATCATATTAGAAGTAAAAATGCTAATTCCTAATTCGGGGTTCAATTATTGGACATTCACCAATGCTCGGGGTTGTTTCCCCTCAGATCTAAGGGAAGACCGAGAGGAGCGATTTGGCACGGGAGGTTTCATAACTTTCTGTTTCTTCTTGCTAGTACTAGATACTTTGCATGCAAAAGAAAAATCAAAAGCAGAAATGTAAACCCCTAAAGATAAACATCACAGAAAACATCAAACAACAATTAGAATTATAAAAAAAAAGTTTTCATGGGTTAAGAATAGGAAAAGTAGAAGCTCTGAACCAAAGTGAATTTCTTTACTTACTCGGATCCATAAGGGGCGGCAAAAATTCCTTGAGAAAAGAAATAATTGAAAAGCAAATCCTTCTCCTTCTGCACAACCCTTCTACTTTGAGGGGAAGAAAGAGGGGAAAGGAAATGAAAGGAAAAAAGAAATAAAGTGATTAATTACGAGTTTTTATGATTCCTTGAAAAGACACGACTTTTCGAAATTTGAAGCGGTTGAAATGACAAGACCCCACGTTTCAAAATTCGGGGTACCATAATGATGCCTATTCGAAACAGGGGCTAGGAAGAGTAGAAAGAAAAGTTTTCCAGTCCAAACGCAGCATTCCGAAGACGAACCGTCACCTCCGGACTGCGGGGCTAGTTGATAGGACCAAGTCAAGCAAGACCAGGGTCAAACTATTATTAAAATCCGGGTCACCAAAGTGAGAAGTGGATTTGAAATCGGGTCGTCCACTTGACATAATGGGACCCACAATTACCACTTATAGTTACGAAGGGAAAAGTGCCATGCTGACCTGATTGATCCACCACAACCATTTCTGGTAAAGAAAACAGAGGTGGCGGATCAAAGAAGCAAGGCCAGCCGGAGAAAGACAACAGACCAGACAAAAGGGGTTTTGACCCTAACATCACATGCTCCCCAGACAATCCAGACCCTTGATCTTGATCCTGATTTTGCTTATATATATATATATATATATATATATATATATACTACTACTACTACTACTACTACTACTACTACCACTACTACTATGGCCTCCAAGGTTAGGGTTATATTATCATTACTTCTCTTAGCTATCTCACTCCCACATCCTCTAACTTAGGTATCGGAGTATTTGCCCAGGGCTCAACCCGGACTTACACTGACGATCTCTATTTTGCCGGAGAAGCTGATAACCTATAGATAATTGGTGGTGGATAATTTGACTTCCATAAAAAACAATAGGCTTAGTTGACTTTCCCCGTCTTGCTCTTAGCATCACCACCTTCACTTCACCAAGTTCTTTTGGATGACCTTGCTCGGAGATAGAAAGAGCAAGGAATTCTGTATAAGTGACAAAAGATGCAGTCTTCCCACTTAAAGGAATAGCCCTGAAAGGAAAATGACAATCGTTACAAACCTCAAAGAATAAAAACAACATGACTTGTCTGGGGTAAAACTTGTAAAGTCATTTAACCTCTCCAACATCAAATATTTCTTCAAGTGTTTTCCTCTGGACATCCTTAAGGAAATCATCATGTGTTGTGATAGTAGACTAGGACTCCAGTTGGCTGATTCTATTAGAGAGCCTGAAGTCCACCAAGAACAATCATCCTGTACGAAGCTTTTCTGGTTAATATTTTTTCATGGCTTCTTATAAAGTCATTAATCTATATTGAGTTGACTAATTTCTACACCTCTGTCTATAAGTATTTATTTTATCAATGTCAAGGTTGAGGAAGACCTTGCTGTTAAATTTGGTGTTTTGCACAAATTTTTTTTCTACAAATTTACCACAACATTGCGAGTGATTTAGTATACCAGATTGCATAATAAGGTGTAATTAGGGAGGACAATGTGAAGACCACCAAAAATTTGAGAGGTAATCTACAGTAGTATAAAAAGCAGGTTAGTTAAATGTAGTGCTGTTAAGCTCAGCTCGGACCGTCCAATTGAACAGTTTAACTGGAAACCAGACTCTAAGCCGAGCCTAGCAAGGAATAAAATCGGCAGAAAAATAATCGGTCAAAATCGGTCAAGACCCCGTTCGGTAAAAATCGGATCGGACCGGGGTCTTTAATTTTTTTGACCTGTTGACCAAAAGTTTGCACATTTCCCCTGATTCTAAGTTCCAATCTCTTCTTTCCAAGACCATCTTTTGTTCAAAATGACCCCAAAACCTTTAGTAATTAATTTTTTCAAAGTATTAGTTTGATATTTTAATCCCCAATTTTAATTTCAATTCCTAAACACACTTTTTTAATTTTTTTTTTAATTTCACTCCACAAAGTAACTTCTGTCATTTTAAGAACATTTTTATTATAATAACTCTAATATATCACAAAAATTTAATCTCATATTCTTGATGTTCATATTGATTATACTCCAAATTCAATAAATTTTTCTAAGAAATAGTTTATTTATCTTAATTACTAAATTAGTATGCTAATTTACGTCACAAAAAAATAATTAATTGCTACAAAATGTCAATACAACTATTACATTAAGAAAATAGATATAAAATTTAAGTTTTCTAATCTGAAATACATAAATAAATGAGTATTATTTATTTAGTGAAAATGACATCATCCTAAATGACCTCCCGAGTTAAATTTAGACATATCAAAACCTATTAAAAATTATGAAGTATTAATTTAACTTTAACAGTTGACAAATATATATGAAATTATATATATTCTAATTAAAAATATAATTATTAATTAATTAATATTTATTACGTCATTATGATATCAACCGAGTCGACCCCCCGATTCACCCCGAGTCGACCCCCGATTCGATTGACCCCTTGGCCATGCTGAATCAAGCTCTGGTCCGAGCCTGACAACACTGGTTAAATGAACCATGTACAACTAAAATTTGAAGGATTTTCGAAAACTCACAAGCAATACTGGGATGTAAAGCTAAATGAAGAAAAATACGAGGTTTACTTACGTTGAAATTCTTTAATGATACCAAACTGCATCACAAAAACGACACGTCCTACATGAATACCATTCATGTAATCCTTAATAGTATCCACATAGTGATTCCACAAAATAACCTTCAATATGTCCTATGTGCGAATATATTATACGTCTTTTTATTCCAAGACAAAAAATTAATTGTAAAATTAAGAAATCATAATGAAGGAATTAGTTGTAAACTATCTCACTCCAAATCTTTCAATTCAATATCTAATGTCTTCCTGTCAGGCCCTTCTTCGATTGCACCTACTCCAACTACCTCGCATATCACATCTGAAAAAACCAACATATTAGAAAATTAATGAAAGAATTTTATTTTAATACACATGGATTCAATCGTATCTATACATATTAGATATTTATTGCTTATCCGATTGTTCAAGATGCCACTAAAAGGAACAAATTCGAAGTAATATATCGGAAGATCTTGGATCCCACTTTTTTCCAGGGTGGTGTTGTGCATGAAGGTAAGCCGGTAAGCCGTTATTTGCCTTTTGGCCTTTATACTGGGCTAAGTCGAAGTTCGAGATTATCCTTGCAGTGCCTTCTTCCATTAGACTATGATACTTCCACATAATTTTCTTGTGGACAAACGTCTAGATCTTGTGTCCCTACACAATTTAACAACATAAACATTGTTCCATCATATAATAGAATTGTTGTTGTATAATTTAGAGTACCAATACCATATTCTTTAATAATCATCGCCTAATTTAGAGAATTGCAAAATGAAAATTAAATATTTAAATTACAGTTGTTTGCGTTGAAGAGACTATGATATCCTTCTCATTGTTGAGCAAAGCTTCCATAGAAACACCATCAAAAAAAATTTCCATAAATGGGTGTCCGGGCTTTGATTATGCGAACATGATCCCTCCAATCAGATTTGGTAATCGTTGGTGTGAGGTCGCAAGTCGACGGGATGCTCCAGAACACATGAGATTGACATTGTGTGAAATCGAAAAGAAATAATGTGATGTGATTTAATTATATATATATGGTGGTGCTTGAAATTGATGGGAAACGGGAGAATTTATAGTGGTTCGACAACAATCCTAAAATTATAAAAAAAATCTAAAAATCTTAACTTTATTTGGTTGTTACAGAAGATGAGAGATGAAGTTGCAAATGGCATCAAAACAAACATAGTGGATAAATCAAATCTAAACAAACGGATCATTGATAAAATCTACTCAAAAGTACCAGTTGTACCCGGATACATCGTAAATTTATACCCGCTGCGCTGACGGTCGCCAGTAGATATTTGTTTTTGGTTCAGGCTGGTGGTTGTTGGATTAACCAATCCTTATGCCCATGCCGCTACAACTCGTTGGGGATTTCATCTCTGATTTATGCCGACGGTGGCTGGATTAATGACACGTCTGTCATTGGCCTAGCCCGTCGCCGGTTGCCGATTGACAAACAAGAGTAAAATCAGAAAAAAAATCTTTTTTTCCAACCAATTTCCAGCCAAATCACCCCACGCGTTAATGAAAAGAATATGGGATTCTACCCAACTTCCTGGTCATGCGGCCGAGTGTGCGTGAATGAGGGTGAAAGGCTTGGAATTTTGGCTGAAATTTCTGCCTCAATACACGTGAATGGTTAGTGGTAATAGAATTGTGGATTTTGTGTTAAGATAAAGGGCTTGTTGACAATTACATAAACTTTATTTTTGAGCAAAAATTTAGAGAAATACACATTGGATTTTATCTGATGTGTCATTTGGAGAATTAGACTCATATTCTCTCTCTGATTTTTCTATTATATATAAGTATAGATATTACCCATTGCTAATATGTATTTTGGTTGACATGTATGCTTTTTTAGAGCCAAAATTCTTACAACAAAGTACTTTAATTATTTGTGTATGTTCATATTTAGTGGTTATCTTAAGATTGATTTACCACATGAGTTGGCAAATTGCCATTTTGGTTCAATTGGAACATTTAAACATATGTAGAGAAAAAAAGTGAGTAACATGGTTTAAGTGATTAATCTTAAAGCAACTTTCTTAATACATTCTTATAAATGACTTATAAATGGCTAGCGGGTTATTAATTAATATTAGGGTAAGAGTATTTGTAGAAATTAAAATATTCTCATTTTTAGTAGTAATAGTAATATAAGAGAATTTATATATGTTAATTTCATATTCGTTATGAAGCTAAGTTTTGAAAATTCAAAAAGAGAGAATATCCTTATATCCACATCAGCATATCCAGTATAGTTCCAATCATTGTATTCAAAAAAGAGAGTATATTCCCATTGAATTAAAATAGAGAGAATATATATCAGTGATATTTTTTAAAATACAACACTATATTAATTTCTTTCCAGTGCAAATGGAGCTAAAAAAAGTCATCATTAAAAATTTTTTTAGCATTATGCTAATAATAGACTAAATCATAATGGCTCAATTAAATTTAAGGACTTCTTCTATTAGTGAAGTAGCTGGAAACTAATACTGTACATCAAATAACGCAATGTATTCTGGGTCACAAAGGGAACAATCTCTTTGTATAATTATAAGGGTAAGGTTGTGCACATCTGACCCCCCGACTTGGTTGAGGATATATTGTGCATGTTATGTTTTGACAACAATGTATTAACTAGAGATTGTATATTGTTGAGATGTTATGCGTCATTGGTCTAGTTTTGATAAGGCACACGAAAACAGTTAGACTTCATAAATAAGACAAGAATTAGATTAGTTATTTGAGTTGAGTAATTTGTTGACTTTATGGGTAATCATAGTAATATTCATTTTTTTCCCTGGAAGCATGAACAAAGTATCGAAACTCACACAAGACACAATTCAAATACTGCAAGATGTCTAGCATTAGAAATACTAACATTGGTTAGTTATTTGATTATGATGGGGCAGAAAGGGCATAAACAAAACACACTACGGAAGCGAACCCCATAAAAATCTCCTTTCCAACTACCAATAAAATAGGACAACCAAATAAGCAAATAATCAAAGAACTGATAAAGTAAAATAGATACACTACGATTAGTATACTTCATTGTAACACAAGGCATCTTAACAGCCCGATTAAACAGAAGGAAGCAAGTAGTTGGGCTCTTTATATAAGGCTAGTATTATAGCATTAGTAGAAACTAAACTTAGCTCTGATAGGATGGAGGATATGGTTAAGAGATATTGGGTTGGATACATGCATAGTAATAATTGTGTAGCACAAGGGAAAGGAAGAATATGTGTAATATGGAATCCTTACACTGTTAGAGTCACTATAATACAACAACATCTACAGTTTATTCATTGTGGGGTTGAAGTATTAGGTACAAGCAGTGTTTTAATTTGACTTTAGTCTATGCTTTAAATCAATTCCATGAAAGAGAAGGGTTATGGGATAGTCTCACTGATTTAGCTTCTATTGTAAGCTCAGCTTGGCTGACCTTAGGAGATTTTAGTAATGTACTTTAGATTGATGAAAGAGTGGAGTTAATGGAAATCCTGGGTTTTCAGAGGTGTGTGGATAAGTGTGGTTTTGTGGATATGAAGCAGAGAGG